GACGTTACTAAAGGAATACTATAACCTTACTAAAGTGTTCTCGAAGAAGAAATTAGATAAACTATCTCTATATCGGCTAGGTATAGATTATAATATTATTCTTAAAGCCGAAGCCTAACTAGGATACTATCCTTTCTATAAGCTTTCTTTTAATAAATTAAAAGCTATAAAGTAGTATATTATTAAAAATCTTAATAAAGGATTTATCGTTCTAAATACTATACTATATATTTCACTAATTCTTATAGTAAAGAAGTCTAGTAGTAGTCTCTATTTTTATATAGATTTCCGGAAGCTAAATACTATTATAAAGAAGGACTACTACCCTTTATCCTTAATTAATAAAGTTCTATAGTAAACTAATAAGGCTAAGTTCTTTATAAAGTTAGATATTCGATAAGGTTTCTATCGGATTTATCTAATACTAGAAGTAGAAGATCTTATAACTTTCTATATAAGATATAGATCTTTTAAATATAAGGTTATACCTTTCGGTCTAACTAATAGTCCCGCTACCTTCTAACGATTTATAAATAGTATTTTAAAAGAATATTTAGACGATTATATAGTTATATTTATAGACGATATCTTAATCTATAGTAAGACTCTTAAAGAATATAGATAGTAGGTTAGAGAAATACTTTCCTATCTATAGAAAGTAGGTCTCTAGATAGTACTATTAAAGTATAAATTTACTATTACTAAAATAAAGTTTCTTAGTTTTATTATAAGTACTAATAGTATTATAGTCGACCTAGAGAAGATTAGTATAATCTAGTTATAAAAACCTCTATTAATAGTAAAAGGAGTATAGTTATTCCTAGGTTTTTACAATTTCTACTAATAATTTATTTAAGGATATAGCGCTATTTCGAAGCCTTTATACTATCTAACCTAATAAGATATTTTCTATAATTAGTCTCTATTTAATAAAGTAGCTTTCTAGCTTCTAAAAGAGAAACTAATAAGTATATCTATTCTTTATTATTATAATCCTACCTATCGGACCTAAGTAGAAATAGATACTTTAAATAGAGTATTCGGTATAGTTCTCTTTTAGTATTATAAAGATAATAATTTCTAGTATCTAGTAGCATTTTTTTTCGAAAATAATATAATCTATAAAGATAAACTATAAAATATATAATAAGGAGCTTTTAGCGATTATCTATATACTATAAGAATAGCTACCTAAATTTAAAGGACTCTTTTAAAAGGATCGCTTTAAGATCCTTATAGATTATTAGTCTTTAGAGTATTTTATAACCACCTAATAAATAAATTAACGATAGATAAAATAGAGTGAATTTCTCTCTTAGTTCTATTTCCTAATTAAGTACTAACCTAGTAAAAAGAATATTATTATAGATATTTTATTATAGAAAGAAATACTATATACCGATAATAGCTAATAAATTACGCTTCTATTTATAGAATATCTAGAAGAAAATATATAATTAAAAGTCGAGGTTAGTCCTATCGATCTAGAGGATATTTAACGCTAGAGGATTATAGAAAGGGTAAAGTATACTAATAGATAGAGTATAGAACTAGTAGAGTTCCGCAAATTACCAAAAACGGAGATAATAATTATTAGATATTATAAGATAGACTCCTCCTTTTCGAAGGACGACTTAAAGTTCCTAATAAAGATAATCTATAGATTAGATTACTTAATAATATATACTATTAGCCGATAATAGCCTACCCTAGTATTAAGAAACTAAAGAAGATAACTACTATATAATATTATTAGCCTAAATTAGTAAAGGATATAGAAAGATATATTTATAACTATCTAATATATAAACGAATTAAGCTTTAGTATAATCGGACTCTAGGACTTCTATATCTACTCCCGATCTCTAAAAGACCTTAGTAGTATATTATAATAGATTTTCGTTCTTTCTTTAGAGATTATTATAGCTATAATATAGTTTATATAGTAGTAGATCGTTTTAGTAAAAGACTAATCTTAGTCCTATATTATAAGGAGATAATAGCGAAATAAATAGCGAGACTCTTTATCGATTATATACTTTAGAGTATAGGTATATTTAATAATATTATTTTAGACTGAGGTAGTTAGTTTATTTCTAAGTTCTAGGCGGAGTTCTACCGAATCCTAGGAATTAAAAGAAAGCTTTCTATAGCTTATTATCTTTAGACTAATAGTTAGAGTAAGATTATAAATTAGTATATAGTATAAAGATTAAGGCTATATATAGAATTTAACTAAAATAAATAGTTAGAGTGTTTACTAATAGTTGATTTTATAGCGTCGATTCTCCTATAGAAGATAATAAAGAAGTTACCTTTCTTTATTAAATAAGGATATAAACCTTCTATATTATTTAACTAAAGAGACTAAAGAATTATAATATAGAATAAACGAGAAGCCGTTAATATATTAACCTAGCTTTATAATATCTAGAATAAGATAAAGTAGTAGATTACCGATTCCTAATAGAAAATGATTTAATAGGTAAATAAGCGATAGTAGGAAGAAGATTTTAATATCGGAGATTACATTTTTATAACGATAAAGGATTAGATATTAGATCGGTCTAGCCGAAAGCTTTTATATTTTACTAGTAGTTTATATAAGATTCTTAAGAAGGTTAGAAATATATACCGGATCGACCTACCCGATTCGATCTAAATATATCCGGTATTTAATCTAAGTAAACTTCGAAAGGTAACGATATTAGAACCCTTTTAAAGATAAAATCCGCTACTACCGATTAAGATTTCTAAAGAAGATAAATAGGAGGTTAATAAGATCCTAGATTTAAGAATATATTATCGGAAGCTATAGTATTATATCTAGTGGCTCGGTTATAATCTCGATCTATAATAGTATCCTATAAGGAACTTTAAGTATACTCTATAAAAGATCTAAGATTTCCACTACTAGTACCCTTTAAAGCCTAGTCCTCTTATACGTTTATAGAATTAGGTTAATATAGCGAGAGATAAAATCATACTCGAGGATTATACTAATAACGACAAACTAGTATTTAGAGACTAAATGCAATTTTAGCCGGGGGTTATATAACGATCTAAGAAGGTTTCTACTAAAGGTTTCCGCCTTAGTTGTTGTTTACATGTGATAGGACCCTACGCATAAAGGATCTCTGATCTTAAGGATCCTTTCTTTCTTTTCCTTTACTTCTCTGTACTTAGTATTCTCGTTAAATGCACTCTTTTTGATTAAAGATCTGGCTGGTAACATAACGTTTTATCTCTAAGAGAGACTAGGAGAGACAAATTCGATTCCTAACGGTATACTATAGTACCCCCTATATCACTAAGATTAATAGCTAATCTATAGATTTGAATAGCTTCAATTTCGATTCGGTTCCGTCCTCCCTAATATATCGGCAATATTGACTGGTTTATAAGGAATAAGCTGCTCTCTAGATTACCTAGGATCGTTAATTTTACGCCGCTACCGACGGATAAATTCTATCTAGCCGATACGATAATAAAGGCTAGAAAGAAGCTTATTCCTCGGTGGATCTTAGGAATCAACGGAGATTTTAATAGGACGATGAAGCAATTGGTCGAAAAGATCCCCAGTCAACTAAGGCTACATATCGTTATTAAGCGGTATAAAGATAAAGCTATATTTTTACCGAGGCCGCTATCGAGCTCGCCACCGAGGCTTAAGATAGGCTCTCTAGAGCTAGTAGTTTTAGTATCTCTAGAGCCGGTGGTTTTAGGATCTCTAGTGTAGAGATCCCCAGTGCAGCTAGCAAATATAAGAAGACGGCGGAGGCGAGCTCGATCCCGATCTAAGACTATAGAACCAACACGCCGGAGCCAGCGGAGGAGGATACGAAGGGTATAGGGATGGAGACATGGATAAAGATAGGCTTTTAGATAGTGGGAATAGCTTTAAAAATAGAGATTTGTATGGGTGGGAATAGCTTCATTTTACCTGCTTATTTTCAAAGGTGTCGAATATGGGTACCTTGCTTATTAAGACCCTGTCATAGTAATTCAGGTATCTTAATTTCTGCCAGTTTAAAATCAGGCAGAATCAGGCCAAATCAGGCATAAATCAGGCACCAACACCTGAAAAACAAGGCATTTGACCCTGGCCGCTATGCCCCTTCGCACTCGCTGACCACATTCACGTGGTATCCTGAACGCGTCTCAATATCTCACCACCTGTGCAAACGAGTGATCACCGGATTGCCTACGGAAGAATTGAACTCCGAGGTTTGATGCTGAGGTATAAAACGGGCCAGCCCCCCCAAAACCTCTTTCCTTTCTTCTCTTCTCTTCTCCAGTCAGGCTCTAGTTTTCAACCAGCAAACGTCGCAGTTGGGCACCGTACCCGACTGCGCAATTTTTGAACACAAACCCCTTTCACCTTTTCATCAACTGTTCGGCTTGACCGGGCGCTTGGAGAAGACGTGTGCTATCATATTTTACCCTGTATTGCTTGACGCCCCCAGCGCCCTTGTACATGTCTTGTTACGCGCACCAAGGATTCGACGACCACTTCCAATACCTGCTCGGCTTCTTCGCGCTTTTGGAGGAGACTCTAGATTGTTTACATCATCCAAGCGCGTCTACTGCCTTTAGATTTGGCTCTTAGTGTGTATGAAGTGCAGCTGTCTAGATCTATTTCTTGCATCGTAAACCATTCTTCTTCCAAGGAGGAAAAGGCTCTACATCTTGTAGCACGGTCTGATGGCCAAGAATCCGCATGTTGCACTTCCCGAATAAGTCTCTTGACTTGCCTAAGGGACCTGGCGGTGGCAGCAATGGCGGTGACGATGGCGGTATACAATATTGTACAATCACACAATCCCACTTCTTGAGGTGGATTGTTCGGTTAACTACGATAATCCTTTGTTCCCAACTTCACAGATCACCCTCCTTGGGCTCCACTAAAGTGCCAGGTTTTGTCCAGATTCACACAATCCATATGTCGGGATATGGTCTCAGCCGAAACTTGGCTAGATGATATTCCTGGCTTCGGGGGAATGCCCCCCGGGGGACCCCGTCCCGGGGAACCGTCCGCCAGCCCAACTGCCGAGGCTGCCAAGATCGCCTGTCCGAAGCAAGCTTTACCGAAAGCACTTTCTATGGGCGCCACCAGTCAGCCAAGAAAGTATAGCCGGGTCTTGGCGAGTCTATGTTCAGTGAGTGCAGCCTTTTATACCTCAATTACCATTGTCGCAAGGCAATTATGCAACTACTAAGCAACCGACTTACAGATCGACAACCTCGGCTCTTAACAGCATTGCGGGGAAATACAGCCGAACCAGGGGAAGCGGGTCCAGCCGCCATACAAACTCCACTGTCTACCCCACGCCGATGCGGATCTGGAGAGGGTAAGTGGTTGTTCCAAGCCATCCCAGCTCTACCGTGGTTTGACCGGCCAATCATACTACGCAATTGTGACCTCCGCAAGGCAAACCGCACAGGTTGAACTTCATGCTATGGTCTGAGATCAGGGGTTGCCGACCTATTGGCTTCCAAGGTTCCGGCCGAGAGAACAAATCCGGGGTTGTGGGGCTTGTGGGGGCATAATGCGGAGGTTTGGTCCAAACAAGAAGGTGGTAAGATATACAGCCGGATCATGGACTGGATGAAAGAGCATAAAGGGGACTATTGACCGTGGTCTGGTTTATGTCTTTTCTTTTCCAAGCTATTTTCCAGTTCATGATCAGCACCATTGAGCCGCCGTCTGACTTGATTTGCTAGGTTTCTTTTTAAAGAAAGAGAATCCGTCCCTTCAATCCCAAAATGTCCGACGACAACATCAGCGACAAGCATGAGACCTCTACTGCGGAGATGCTCCGTCGCTACCAAACCGCCGAAAGTGTTATGCTCCCTATACCACGAGATATCTTTGAAAAGCTATACCTCAGCCCCAAGACACCAAATGCAGGAAAACTGCGTTCCACATTCGGCAATCCTACGCCGATCTCATTGATGGGTTTCTTGTTAGCTGCCACACCCACCGCAATGCTTACTATGGGCTGGAGAGGAGCAGGGGGGAATGGTGGTGCTATCATGTAAGAGAGACAACGCCGATGTGATGCCACAAGCAATACTAACACTTCTGTCTGCTAGACCGGTCTATATCTTCTTCGGAGCAATGGTACAAATATTTGGAGCAATCGGTGAATGGATTCTAGGGAATACATTTTCCTGTGCATTATTCTTTACATATGGTATGTGCAATTGGTCATGGACCATGGATGCATCCATGCATTTGCTAATCAGAATCACGGTTCACAGGCACATTCTGGCTCGTCCAGGGAACATCGCTCATGCCGTTCTTTGCCGTTGGAACAATGTACTCACCTGATGGTAACACACTGGAAGGCATGGAGACGGCTGAATACAGCGCCACTGTCGGTGAGTTCTTTCTACTACACTGATTATGCATATGTGCAAGTCCTAATGTAATACATTACAGGCTTCTACTATGTCACGCTCGCACTCCTGACCTTCGTGTACATGATTTGCTCCCTCCGCACCAACGTCTGTCTCTTCCTCGCGCTCTTCCTGCTGGTGATTACGTTTGGGTTATTTGCAGGCACATATTTCCAAACGGCGCTGGGAAACCTGGTTCTGGCAGCGAAATTACAAAAGGTATGTTGCAAATATCCCATTCCAGATTGAATCGGTACTGATTTAGGTACCAACAGGCGGCTGGTGCGTTCAACTTCGCACTGTGCATTCCGATTTGGCATATTTTCATTGCGCAGATACTCGATGCGGTAGATTTCCCCATCGCGCTACCAGTGGGCGACCTAAGTACAGTCGTCCTTGGGAAGAGTCAGAAAGCTCGGAAACGTGAGGTTGAGGGCTAGTTCTAGCTTACATATTTCTGGATTGTATATATTTACAAGATTGCATAGTCCATGTTCCCAGAGACAAACCGTATACTCCTGGGAAGCTGACTCGCGATCCTGGGAGCTGTCAAACCCTCCTATGAGTAAACTCGGGATGTTACCGAGCGACACCTTTCTTTTGTGAAAAGGCTTTTCGTGGCCTAGCTAGACTGGGTCCCAGATTGCGACAAATAGCGGCTACCTTTTGTTGAATTATCAGCTTCCTAGACTATCAGTGAGCTCTTCGAACCATACCTGCTTCGCTACACGGAGCCAAGACATACCACGATAATGAGTGGCTCTTTCAACAATTTTAATCATGGTTCTTATCCCATCGCAGGTCGCTCTTTTCTGCATTATCCCCCACCAGGCATGTGAGTTTTGTAGGAAGCGACGTTCCTCTTCAAGCTAGTAGTGGCGGAGATAGCGGCGGGATTAACAGATTTCGGTGGCCGGCCCTCTGTGACAGACGGAGTTGACGGTGGAATATACGATTATTCAGTGCCTATTTAAGAGTCCATCTCGCAGCCTTCTTACTGTGAGAACAGACAGTTCTATTTATCTTCGCCAACACTCCCATTGACTTTTACTTGGAAACCAACGAAATGGCAGCCTTGAGTAAACTACCCTTGCGCCAGCTAGGCCGCAATGGCCCTTTTGTCCCTCGACTGGGCTTGGGATTGATGAGTGCGAGCGGCATTTACAATTCCCCCCTGTCGGAGGTTGACCATCTTGCTTTCCTGGATGAAGCCTACAACCGAGGAGAAACGTTCTGGGACACTGGTAGGTGCAATCCTACAGAGAAAGAAAGCGAATAAAATGCTAATGAGCCCCCCCTGCAGCCGACAAATACGGCGCGTCCGAGGACGTGCTGGGCAAATGGTTCGCCGCCAACCCGGACAAGCGCGAACATATCTTCTTGTCCAGCAAGTTCGGCATAATATTAAATCCCGGCCAGAGCCCGCCATTCAAGGTCGATTCCACCCCCGAGTACTGCCGGGAAGCCATAGAAGCCTCACTCCACCGTCTCAATCTGTCCTATGTCGACATTTACTACATCCACCGCCTGGACAAGGTCACCCCGATCGAAAAGACCATGGAAGCCATGGTCGAACTCAAGAACGCAGGGAAAATCAAACACCTGGGCTTGAGCGAATGCAGCGCTGAATCCCTCCGACGCGCATACGCAGTCCACCCCATCACGGCCGTCCAGGTCGAATACAGTCTTTTCTGTCGCGCTATCGAGGCGCCGCAGATTCGTCTTCTCGAGACAGCCCGTGAACTGGGCGTCGCTATTGTATGCTACAGTCCTCTCGGCAACGGCTTGCTCACCAATACAATCCGCGCCAGAGAGGATGTGAAGCCGGGGGATTCACGGGTGCATCTGCCTTGGCTGAAGGAGGGGAATTTGGAGCAGAATGTGGCTGTTGTTGAGAAGATCGCGAGCATCGCTGCGTTGAAGGGGGTTTCATCTGCGCAGTTGGCTTTGGCGTGGTTGCTTGCGCAGGGGGATGACATCTTTCCCATTCCTGGAACAACCAAGGCACACCGGTTGGTTGAGAATCTGGAGAGTGTGCACGTTTCCGTGTCGGCGGATGAGGAAAAAGCGTTGCGGGAGATAGCGGACGCTGTTGTGGGTGCTCGATTCCAGGGAATGACTGGTTATGCTTTTGCAGATACCCCAGCACTGTGAGACGTATGTTTTGAGCGATTGTATCGCTGCAATAACGATGGTTCAACGTCTCGGTGCGGCATTCTTAAGCAGCCAATGAATACAGATTAATGAATACTTGCGGCGTTGATTCTCATCCTAGTGGCGATTCAGGGGGTTTGGGGGCATTTCATGTGAGATATAGAACCTGCCAAAATACGGCAATGAGAAGCTTATCCTCTGGTCCTCGATGGTGGCCTGAGTGTTGTTGTCCTCGGAGGTTTCAGGCTCCAGGCATGTAAGATATTTGGCCCCGTTCGCCGCATAGTTTTCCATGCGGACCAATGTAGATAGGATTTTCACACGGGACTGGGTCAGGCTGTCTTCATGGACGCTAGACACTTCCTCCATAGTATGAATCACATCATCAATAACTGCCAAGTCCCCGGGACGCTGGTGCTCAAACACATTTTCCGTCTTGAGCCCATGCCCATGCATATGTATTAGAAGGAGACACATTGCAGAAGTAAAAGCCTTCTCCACGAGGCCAAGGTATGGAATCGTCTGGAGGGCGTTACGGAACATGCGAAAGTGAGCAAGGACCTCGCGACTTGCGCAGAGAACGGCCATTTTACTGTACGTGTGGTTGGGCGACGGACGGGCGAGCATTTGACGACGAGTCGTTGATTCCAAGCGGAGATGCTCTATGAGATACGGCTGATGAAGGACAACCACCAGATGGAACTGATGCATCCGCGTCAGAATCCGAACGAACTGTTCCGGCGCGCTCACGTCTGGTATACCATTTCCTAGCAACGGTGAAACCCACCAACGCACGGGGGGTATGCGACCGGCCCTTTTTAGCTGAAGATCAATATCCTGTGTCTCTTGGTAGTCATTGACAGCGGCTTCGTGTATCTCGTGTTGGCGCCCATGGCGTTCCTGCATGCGAAGGTTCCTGGCAATGATCCTGCCTACGACCACGACATGGATGCGCTCCAATCGATCGGACCACCTGTCCGCCGCAAGCTGCCGTGTACCGATGAGCTGACAGTCCACATCGACAAAAGGAAGTCCTAGCATGAGGGATAGGAACCGATCACTGTAGACTAAACGGAACCATAGGGATTCCGCACGGTTGTCATCCTCATGCTTCCGACATGAGAGGCCCAGTAAGCGGGCGATCTCCAACGCTCGACGGAAGAGAATCCAGGCGTCCCGGAGACTGCCTATGCGGATATGATAGTGAGCCTCCAGGATAAGAGTCTCCACGCCATCGAGAGAGTCGACGAGTAAGTCCTGGGAAGTGACATAGCGGGACGCGACGCCGACAAAATAACGTGCCATCTGGTAATTAGGCTGGTCAAACCGGAGCTCTGGCACTTTCTGCGTGGACTGCTGTAAACATAGGGCAAGTTGGATGATCCTCTGCGCGAGATGCACTGGATGATTGGACTCCGATGAGGACTGGTGGTCGACCTGGGCTGGTGCAGTTGAGCAGACCAACAAATGAAATGGTCGAACACAGAGCGGGCTGCGATCCAGAATCTGCTTGAGAATGGCAGCAGACGGAAGTAATGACTGAACATAGCTCAGGGAGCCGGGTGACATTGGACCACTCTTGAGAGTGGCATCGTTGCCTGCTTTAGGGAGGTGTAACACCCTGGGGTCTATGGTATCGACAAACAAATCCTTCTTCACTTCCTGGCTAACTGGTGATATTTGGGACGGTGAATGGGCCCCTTGTTGCTGTACCAGTTGCGCCACCAGACCCTCAACGTGGGTAATGCGCCGTTCTACCGCTTGATAACCTGCATCTTGAGGGCTAGGGCACTCCTGGCTGATGCACGAGAGTCCCTTACGCTGGCAAAAGGCACAGACTGTTGCCGAAGACGAGGTGAATTGGCAGCGAATCTTACGATTCTTACATTCCCAGCAGCTGAAGGTGCCTTTCCGGATCTTTCGGCGCTTCTGTGTCGGTTCACCGAGAGTTTGAGATATGGAACTCATTGTGAATGATATAGTTATCTCATATGAACTAAGGTTGACTGAGAAACGTGTGGATATTTTGTGGTTTCTCGATAACTCGAAGAACTAGTCCAGGTACAGTCAATGGGCCTCCGACTCCGAGACTGTTCTTAATATAGCTTAATTCCGCCGAGGTGGAGTTAAGGCCTAAAGGTGGAACGACCTCGGGAAGCAATCTTTTGTCTATAGTTTGATCATACTCGTGTTGTCGCCAGTATATAACTAGCTATCACACTATATCGACGTCTCGGCGTTTTAATTCAGCCTGCTTTTAGTCATTTTTTGCTTCTTATTGTTGATTCTCACTATTTCTATTCTGATCTATCATATTGGAGAAATACGAAAAAGAAGCACATAATTACCGGCTTCTTTCCATGTATGAAGAAGATTAGACAGTTCAATTTCCTTTACTTGCTTCAGTATACAATTGGAATCCTTATTCATAGTACTCGTTATAGTATTATCGTCTCAAGATATGTATAGATTTCTACGATAATCAACTACCCTATACATGGACGGGTGGGCCCCTCACGCGTTGCTCCACAGTTAAGGCCGATAAGCCCCGGGTTCCAAGGTTCAGGGATGTGGTGCGTCGATTTTTTCGATTTATATATCTATCCCTTCTTTTCCCCCTTATGTTGTAGTCTCTGTTACACTCTTCCACCATGTTCGAATGCAGCACCTGTGACGACGTATTCTATTGGCAGGAGGACTGCGAGGAGCACATGAATGATATGGTCACTGGATTGAGTGTCAAACATGTAATCGAGTATTCCGCACCCAAATCGCTTGCAATCAGCATATGAACGCTGTAGACCACTGGGCGCCGACCTCCGAATGCGAAACATGTACTAGTACCTTCCATTCCCAACACGCCGCCAACCAGCACATGAACGCGAAGAATCATTGGCTCCCGACCGTGCCGTGCGAGACGTGTCCGACAAAATTCCACACACAGCAGGCCGTGGAGAATCATATGAGAGCCAAGGGACATTACAAGAACTATTGCCAACAATGCAATCGTCGCTTTATGAACGAGAACTGTTTGCGCCTGGTAGGCGAGCTGACTATAGCTGAAACGTGGGACCCGTTCGACTCACCCTTTCATCTCACAGCACCTAATCTCGAAAATCCATCGCGGTACCACCATTGCGTGTCCATTCTGTCAGACTGGCGTCGTCACTGCTAGCGGTGTTTCCCACCATCTTGAGAGTGGATCCTGTCCTCAGGCAAAAGGCTTGAACCGCGATCGCATCCATCGCGCTATTCGACAGCTTGATCCAAATGGCTATGTCTGCAAGAAGCAGATTGCGTGGTACGATGAAGAGAATTCGACTTATGAGGTCACCGGAAGTGCCTATAATGGTAGCTATTGGGTGTGTTACCTGTGCAAGAAGGGGTTCAACTCGAAGAAAGCGTTAGAGTCACATGTCAACTCGCCCGTGCACAAGGAGAAGGTCTATCACTGCCTCAAGCGCGGCTGTCCGAAGGAGTTCCACTCCCTGGCTGGTCTGTTTAACCACCTGGAGAGTGAATCGTGCGGATTCATTCGGTTCGAGGGAGTTCAGCAGGTTCACAAACAGTTGAATGATGCTATGATGGGCCGCCGGATGATTACTGGATTCTAGTTCTTTTTTCTTTGGCTATTTGTTTGCGGTGATGTAGCCGCTCGCTCGATATTATTGAATTTGTCAACCGTGAGGGCCCTACGTATAACTAGCTGGCTGGTTATACAAGTCTTTTGTTTGGCTTTACCTCGCTTTCTATCTCTAAAGTCAAACCAATACTCTAGATGCTCATTATCAAGACTTTCACTATCTGAGTGGACCGCAAGCCCGTCATGACCGATCGAGGCTATCCGCGCACGGCATGCAAGCTAAGCACTATATATGCAGTTTGCTTCTATACATGCAAAAAGACTTGGCATTGGGTTACATTTCAATCCAGCCTACTTCCAGTCCCTGCCACAGAAATTACTGACCCAATTCTTTTTGTAATCCAAGCGCTCTTTTCACGCTAATGCAGCCTGGATTAGAATGTAACATGGCCTAATGGAGGTGGTCGAATCCATCGGGTTCATGCATATGCAGTTCCCAACTGCAGGGCAGGTGAGCGGCTCCCGGAGGGCTTCCCCGGCTTAAATGGGCTTAGTGTTGACGATGTGGAAATTGATGAGAATCACACAATTCTCATTCTCATATTTCTAATATCGATAGTATCGAGTCAATTTCGAGGGATGTAGGTACTTATACTAGGTACAACATCAGAGGGATATAGATCAGCTCAACAACATTTAGGAAAGTGGAGTCGATGGAATCAATGACGTGAATACTATATTTTTAGTACTCCTATAGTTCATAGGTCATAGGATATTCTTTCAGCATGGTTGTTACTGTATAATATCTGCACATAAGTGAGTTCGAATAGATCTTCAAGATCGACTTGGGTAAACTTTCCACTCCGCCACAATTCTTCGTCATCCCTGTTCCTCTCCCTTCCTGAACTTCACGTCATTGTACATTCGGAGTCCATGTTCAATATCATTAATATTAGCATCTACATTTACATTCTCATCTTTATCTCTCAGTCTCAATTCCATCATACTCCTAATACCTAATTGCATCGCACCATGCCCATCCCCGTCAAAGAGACGGTCACGCGCCTCGCAGCCATCTCCAAGCTCCTAGTCCTATCCTACATAATCGACTGGATATTCATCATGTACGCGAACCCTATCTAACCCATCCAAACAATCCAACTAACAATCCCAAGCGGCATCGCCCTAATCGGCTACGGCTTCTACAGACAATCCCCAAACCACCACCCCTTCAGCCTAACCGACCCAAACATCAGCTACCCCCTCACCAAAGAAACCGTATCAAACAAAACCCTCATCCTAGTCAGCCTCTTCGCCCCAGCCGTTATAGTCCTCCTACTCTCATGGCTTCTCGTCCCAGCCAACGCCACCTCCAGATCTAACTCCGGCTCCCCCAAACCCCCCGCTGCGCAATACATCCGCCGCAAGTTCTGGGAATGGAACGTCGGCTGGATGGGGCTTGCGCTCGCCCTCGCAAGCGCCTGGACAGCTACACAGGGATTGAAGACACTAATCGGCAAGCCGAGGCCTGATCTTCTCGCGCGCTGCGATCCGGACATTGCGCGTGTGGCGGAGTTCACGGTTGGAGGACTTGGGGAGTCGGTGGATGGTGCGGCGACGCTGGTTTCGTGGGAGATCTGTCGGGTTAAGAGTGACTCGTTGCGCATTGATGGGTTTGCAAGTTTTCCGAGTGGGCATTCTTCTTGTAAGTCCATATCGTATATCCTACAATCATATAAGCGTGTCTATGAATTCCATCTCCGATGTGATACAAACACGCTTAGGATATTACTACGTGCACACATGAATTCAGCAGCTAACACAATCCAGTCTCCTTCGCCGGCCTAATCTACCTAACCCTCTGGCTCTGCTCCAAATTCTCCGTCGCATTCCCCTATCTCCCGCGCTACCCGGTCGAAGACCAGAGCCACACCGATGACAATTCCTCCGTGCGGAAACGCGGCGCCGCCCCGCCCGTTTACATGATGCTAATTGCGTTCGTGCCGACTGCCACGGCGTGCTTTATTTCTGCGTCGCGCTGGTTCAACTACAGACACCACGGCTTTGATATTCTCTTCGGCGCGGCGATCGGGATTTTCTTCGCTTATATCGGATTTTACATGTACCATCTTCCGATTCGGCGTGGCGCGGGCTGGGCTTGGGGCGCGCGCAGTCAGAGACGCGCTTTCGGGCGGTTGGTTGGTTTCCCTAGTTCGCTGGGGACGGATGGATGGGCTGGTGAAAGGGTTGAGGAGGTGGATGCTGAGGTTGCGGCTGCGATAAGGGAGAAGATGTTTAGGGATCTGGAACAGCGACATGCACAGACACAGGGACATATTAAGCCGGAGAGTAGTGGGGGTCAGGTTGTTTAGGCTTGAGGCGTAAATGGGTGCTGCATTTCCTGGGGCTTGGTTTGAGCGCGGTTCGCAGCAGGACATGGAAGGTACAATGTGGATTTTGTATTATATACTGCATAGTGGACAGATCATGAATCGGAGGCAGCATGGTATCGTAAAGGCAGTCAGATGTTGACCTGTATTTTGAGGTTGCTTTTAGACCTCATCGCCAACCACCAACACGTCCCTCATCCCACCGTGCCTTGGCCTCCTTCCGAGCCGCCAATTTAGATGCCTCGGCCCGTACGCGCCGCACCCAATCTGCAATCTCTTTCTCTGTGGCCCGGCCATGATGATCCTCATCGAGGAAACTCTCCTCAACGGCATGGCAGACAGCCTCCTGCTCCGTGATCGCTGCGCTGAACCGCTGATATAACGCCTTCGGCGACCACGGCGCTAGGGCGGCGTCCATCTCTGCTTGCTTTTTGCGCCAGGAGACCTCAAGCGACTGATGTGTAATCAGCATTGTTTCGGTGGAGGCCCGGACTTCGGCGAGGTGGTTCTGCATCTCCAGGATGCGGGTTGCGAGGTCTTTGTTTGTTTGGATTAGGTTCTCGAGATGTTGCTGGCGGGCTATGTAGGAGGGGTGTTGGCTTGAGAGTGCCGATATAAGGGATGGATCTTTGAGGATTGTTTGGAGGTCGGTTGTTCTGGGATTTTGTGATTTAGAGGCGCTGTTATCGTTGATTTGGGGGTTTGAGGGGACTCACGATTTGTCGGATACCAGGTCTGGGAGCCAGCCCTCTTCGATTGTTGGGGGATCGGGGATATATGGCTGTTGAGGAGTATTGGCGTATGTGCCCTGGTGTGCGCCTGGCTGGTTGTCTAGTTGCCAGGCCTGTGCAGAGGTGTTTTGCGGGGTGCCGCGTCGACTGGTCTCGTGGCTGTTGGGTTTTGGGGGTGGTGGAGGAGGTGTGTCGGGGTTGACGGGGTTCATGATTTGGGATGAGTAGAACTGCGATTGAGGGGGGAATGGGGAGGGTGGTTGAGACATGATATGGCTGTTGGGGGGGGGGGTGTAGGTGGTAGCTATGTTGTTATGTCGGAGATGCGGGATGGGCTCGAGCTTGGCGGGGGCTAGACCGGTGATCTACGCAGTTGCATCATGGTATGATAGTAGGATCTCTAGGTAATAGCCAAGTATATTACTATATATTAGTTCAATGGATATATCGTGATATTTCGTGATTTAATGCTAGGTACAAGATCGTATAGAAGCTTTTCTTCGGGCCGGCGAATCACTCGGACCCCAACAGGCACTCTAAAAGCGAGTCTAACAGCGAGCTTCATGGCGAGAATCAGAACTTCAAGCCCGACCAAAGTTTCCCAAGAAAATGGTAGAGTACCCGTCCGCGCTCGATACCCAGCGACTCCGGGACTCTGACTGCAAATGCTTGGATGAATTTCTCCGCATCTTTAAATGCGACGGTGGTCTCACGTACAGACAGAACTCCGGCATGACAAATTGCTTCAACAGTGGCAATTCTCCTGCTTATTCGGTTCTCCTCCGAATCTCCCGCTCCATAGCTTCAATATTCGAGCCAGCCATGGCATCCTTGACCAACTCGCGCACCTCATTTTGCACCTCCTCGCTGTAATAATCCTCACGGGTAGCAAGTTCCTCGATGCGCCTCTTGAACTCTGGATCCGGCTCGCCACCAGCAGCAGCCTCTTCCTCCGTCATTGTGCCAACGTTAACCCTCATATCGCTGCCAGGGATGGGTCCGGGAGAATTCAAAACTTCGGCGGCTTGGGCGTGCGTCGGAGCAGGAGCACCCCCGACGATTTCGCGGAGGTAGGCAGCAACATGTGGGAACTCATTCTCGGCCTCGAACTTTTCCACAGCTGTAAGGTCTTCGGCGTTCTTCTTATTGGCGTCCACGCCTAGTTCCTCGACTAAACAGCGCGCGATATCGCTGTCCTCGACCACAAATAGACATGTCTCGCCATCTTCATCAAGGAGGTTCACATCCACGTTGAATTCTTTCACTAGAGCGCGTAGGAGATCGGCATGGCCGTAGGAGGCTGCGGCGTGCAGCAATGAGTAGCCGGACTCATCTTGGCTCGATGCGATCGCGGGGTTGGAGCGCAGCAGGTCCAGAAGGGCCTTTGGGTTGTCGCAGGCCAGGAGGTAGGGATTTTGGGCCATTATGAGTCAGGGGTATTAATTGAAATGAAACTCGTAAATGAAGTGAGTCAAACGCAGCTTCGTGGTTGTTAAAGAAAGTCAACTCAGCAGAAAAAAAATATCCGCCTTTCCCTTTTGGCTCCCCGCACTGCGACACTGGTCGGTCTGACTCTTCTGCAGGTCTTTTGGTCTTTTGTGCTTTTGTCTCAGTTTGTCTTTTTTGCTTTTCTTTATTCTGTTTCATTACTCTACAAATACCCCTGGAATACCTCAGGCAGGAGGTCAGGAAAAATATCCCGCTCTTTCCCCCCTCATCTGCCCCTCCTCTCCGTCATCAACCGCCGAGCTCCCACTTTGATATACCCAACACACACGACATGGCGACTCAAGATCCCCACGTCATATCGCAGCTGGTGAAGACCCTGGAGACTGCCAGCAAGGCCAAAAAGGGCGAGACAAGGTTCACCTGCAAGAAGGGGTCCTTTACGGTGGCCAATAATATACCCGTGGACTCGTGGAAGTTCCAGGACTGGGACTACAAGCGTGACGGCCTGCCGACATATGCACGAGGTATTTTCACCACGAAACGGAAGGATGGCACTCCCGAAATTGCGACGCGCGGATATGACAAGTTCTTCAATGTAGGCGAGACAAAGGCGACAGAGTGGCGCAACATCGAGAAAAACACAAGGGGTCCTTATGAGCTGAGTGTGAAGGAGAATGGATGCATTATATTCATATCTGCTTTGGAGGGTGACAACTTGCTAGTCTGCAGCAAGCACTCGACTGGAGCTCGCGAGGATACACCAGTCAGCCACGCACAGGCAGGAGAACGCTGGGTGGAACGCCATGTCTCGTCTGTGAATCGGTCCGTCAAGGACCTTGCCCGCACTTTGCGTAAGATGAATGTTACAGCCGTTGGAGAACTCTGTGACGACAGTTTCGAGGAGCATGTGCTGGCATACGATGAAGCTTCTTCCGGCATTTACCTCCACGGTCTCAACTACAACCAGCCGTACTTCCATACGATGTCTTGTGAAGATGTGCACAAGTTCGCTGATGATTGGGGCTTCAAGAAGGCCAAGTTCGAGGTCTTTGATGACATCTTCAGAGTGCAGAGCTTCCTGGAAGGATGCGCCGAGACAGGAACATGGGCTGGACGTGAGACCGAGGGTTTCGTCATCCGATGCAACCTGAGCGACAACGGAACTGAGCCCTACCGGAATTGGTTCTTCAAGTACAAGTTCGAAGAGCCGTACTTGATGTACCGCCAGTGGCGTGAATGCACCAAAGCCGTCATCGGAGGGAAACATCCAAAGATCAGGAAGCATGAGCAGATCACCGAAGAGTACTTGCAGTTTGCTCGACGGGTTCTGATGAAGGACTCTAAGAGGGCAACTGATTACATGAATAACCACGGTATCATCGGTTTGCGGGACGAGTTCCTCAGGGAACGAGGATTGAAATGGATCCGAGATCATCGCTCTAGAGGAAAAGAAGCAGACCGAATCGCAGAAGATCGACAAAAATGTCATCCTCGAACCTATTGCCTCGCTTGGATGTGGAAAGACGACAGTCGCCTTGGCTCTGGTTAAGCTCTTCGGATGGGGTCATGTTCAGAACGACAACATCCCCAAACAGAAGAACAAGCCGAAGAAGTTCGCTTTCGAGGTCAGCCATGCTCTGGGAGAGCACAGTGCTGTCATCGCCGATCGCAACAACCACCAGCGGCGCGAACGTAAGCAGCTCATGGATGATATCTACCCTGTGCTCCCGGATGCGCAGTTCGTCGCTCTGCATTACGTCCACGAGCCCAAGGCAGACATGCTCCCTGCCATTCGAGAAATCACTCGAAAGCGTGTGCTAGAGCGTGGCGATAACCACCAGTCCATCCGAGCTGGCACCAACGCTCAGGATGAGACCGTCGGAATCATGGAGGGATTCCTCGGCCGCTTCGAAGGCGTCGACACTACCCGCAGCCCAGACCAGGGCTTCGACCACGTCATTGACCTCGACGTATGCGCGGGGTCTCGCGAGAACCTCGAAACAGTCGTCAAAGCCCTACACGCGGCGTACCCGCGCCTAGTGCCAACCATGCCAACAGAAACAGAACTCGACGAAGCCATTGCCGCCGCTCTAAACGACTACACCGTGACAAAAGATCTGAGCTACAGCTACGGCACTTCACAGAAGCAAAAGAACAAAAACAAAAACAACCAACATAACGGCCCCATCGTCCCTGAACCAACGGACTCCCCCTTCTCCCCAGAAGCCCTCGCCAAAAAGATCGAATACTTCAACATCTCCATCCCAGCAGCCGAAATTACCACACTCCTCCACTCCCTCTTCCCACCAATAACATCCCCCGAAAAAGCCCGTCTCTACAACCAACTCGTAAACTCCCGCCGCCTCCAACCAACCTTCCACGTAACTCTCATCCACCGCGCCTCGAAGAAAGACAAACCAGAGATCTGGGAAAATCTAGCAACCCGCTTTATCGAGACGCAGACCAAAAACCCAGTCCAAAATCCAATCCAGAACCCGCCAACCCTGGGCTCCGCGCGCGTGCGCATCGAGCGTCTGGTCTGGGATAACCGCATCATGGCCTTTGTTGCGCGCATCCTGCCCGCCGAGGGTGTCGAGACAGAGTCCGGTGTAGCTGAGTGGCCATGCGCGAATGCTATTCCGCATATCACGGTTGGCACGGCGGCGCCGGAAGTTAAGCCGAAGGAGAGCAATGATTTGCTGCAGCGGTGGGTTGAGGTTGGGTCTGGTGGGGATACTGGCATTTTTGAGGCGGAGGTTGAGGGTGTTAAGGTCGTTGGTGGTGTTGTTGGGTTGGTTATGAGCCGGGGAAAGTAGTGAGTTTTCGATGTGAATGATTGAGAAGTGGAATGGAATGGGTTGTTGAAATCCGGTTTTGACTATTACTATGACTTTACTGCATTGCATTTTTTTGGTGCTGTTTGCATTATATTGCAGATCCTATGTCTGCGAGTCCTCTTTCTTTTCAGTCGGCTAGCTTGGATATCGAATGGACTGTTACGATTCATCCTTAGGAAACTATGTTCATCGCTCAGCAGGGGCTGTGTAAACTTAGAAAAGACCTTTTTGGCCCTTTGCTGTTGTCTACCCAACAAACTGAGGAGGACAAAATGTCTATATAATCAGGTAAAAGACTATCTGAGGAGACTGTCAAAAAAGACATATAAAAAGACTAACCAAGAAGACGATCAGACTACGGCTGCATAAGCGGTTCTTATTGAATATCAAGCTAGTAATACATCCGGCGCAAGCTATGGTCATTGTGGTCCCTAGCTGGACCTCTACTCTTCTTCCCTGGCCATAGATCCAAGCCTACGCTCGAGCTCCATCTCAAATCTCTCCTTACCGTACGGTTCATCTCGCAACGTCGCCATCTTGTCCGTCCCAGGTGGAAAATCCGTCTCGAAAGTTGGCTCCCCAGCCCCTCGCACATTAGCAAGCACGCTTTGCCGAAAGTGCCATCTCAGAAAGTCATCCGCGACATGATTCGGATTATTTGGCCTCCGACAAACCGGATCAAGGACTCTCCCATCGATCTGCTAGTGATTCGGCACAAACGTGATGATTTTGTACCCGTCCTATGCTGTTAGTAAACCTGCGACAGAGCTGGTCTGAGAATACGTACATCTGGGTTAATAGAGAAGAAATACTGATAAAAAAGAATGTGTAGAGCCGCCTCCATAAGCAATCCGTTTTGGGGGAGTTGATCTTCGATTCTCCCTCGATCCACAGATTCTCCTTGTCCGGAGCGACCACATGTGCAGTTTCGAATCCAGCCCACCAATCCCACTGCGCTAGCTCATTGACATTGCCAGAAATAACGCATTTCCCGTCTCTCTGACGGATCCCGTCTCGAAAGGAGTCTTCTCGATCCGACGGAGAATGACTACGCACACGAGGAACCCATTCTTCGTTCGTTACCGTAATAGCTCCTACTTGGTCTGTGAGTATAACGTCCCTATAGTGCGTATGAAGGAAGTCCTACCATCGTCACTGAAAATGTCGTAATCGCCAAGCGTAACGGAATTGTTCGACGGCGTGATATCTCGACCGGATGCTCTGTGCCTTATTGTGAAAGGGTTGGGAAGGAGCACATTTCCCAGAATCCAGAGCAGATTTGCTTCCGTTAGGGAACCGGCTTGATAGAATCCTCCTAGGAGTTGTTTGTTGGACGCGTTATAGAAGTGGACATTACGCCATGGGCACCGGTCTGGTGGTGGCATGGTGAGAAGTTGATGGGGAAGACTTATCCGATGCCAGTGGAAGGTAGGCAGGCCCTCGTATGGATGGACCAGTCAGTATGAATAGTCGGCTACTTGTGCAGCCGTAGTCTGGTGGTCTTCTCAGGTAGTTTTTTTTTTTAGATGTCTGGTTATATTGATATTCTGCGCCCCTTCTCAATCGGGTAGACATCAGAAAAGGCCAAAAGGCGCAGTCTGAAATGGGACTTCCTGATGTATAGAACCTTTGGCCTTTGAAGTTGAGAAGGCGGGACAGCTTCCCGTCCTTCCGCCGTATACATATGTCCGGTTAGAAAATCCGATGTCCCCAATAACCTTGGAATGGTCCTTTCATCTTCATCAAATTCTATGTAGAAAAGATATCCCCAGTGCTGTAACCACCAAGGCTGTAGGATAGTAAGGGCTAGCCTGTCGCAATATATTGAGGGGGTTTACGTACATGGATTCGCTCAGGTTCAGTGAGTGGATAGCTTACTCGCTCAGCCAAAAAGGGCGGACTGAGAACGAAGATGGAAAGGGAAAGCCAAGAAATGGCATAGGAATCCGGTATGTACATGAGTATACACAACAAAGAGCCACAAAAAGCCCAAACCGCGCCCGATACCAAAGGAACCACAAGCACACCGTGCGATATATGTGAGGACCAAAAAAAGGTAGGTATCAAACACAAGCAAATCAACAAAATCAACCATTAATCCAAGAGGTAACACGCGACGCTCCAAACCGGCCCACGTACTGCAGGCCGGTGCTGCCCATGGGGAAATAGCTGACGAGGTACCAGACGAGGGCAGCGAGCTGGAAGATGGAGGAGATGAGAGTGAGGAAGAGGCTCTGAAGCTACAGCGCACCAAAAAAGAGAAGTCAGTCAGCAAGAGTTTCTAGAAGAGGATGTGTTGCCAAATGTAGCAAGTGGATGGTGTGTAGTTGTGATACGCAGGTAGAACAAGAGGTCCGAGTAGTCAGGAACGGTAAGACATAGATTGATCTCGATGGCTCTGGACTCCGCGCTCTGTGACACCGGGATGTGTCGGACAAGGTGTAGTAAGGGAAAGGGCATCCAAGTCCCGCGCCGTGGTGGGACGTGGTACAGACGCAAGATTCAGAGCAGAGAGACCGGCCTAGTGCAGGGTGGGATGGATTCGAAGGAGCACAAGCCGTGGTTTCAGGTTGTACTGCGCGATGGATGTGAAGGCTGCAAGATTCCCCTTTTCCCGGTTGCGCAGTGCGACCATACGGACTCGGGTAGAGTGAGGGGGAACGAGTGTGCGACAAACAGGGAAATGTAGAGGGGAGTATCATGAGGGGGAGGGATCGTCGGCGTGCAACGGGATGAAGCGTAAAGACCAGACACGAAAATCCAAAACCGGAAACGAAAGCGAAAGAAAAAGGAAATCAATTTTACTTACCCCGATGGCGAAGTAGAGGGTGAGGGCGATCGATCCGAAATAGGCCGCTGTGAATGGCAACCGTGTTCCCGAGATCAAATGCTTAGCGTACGTCCACGGTCCCATGAGGACCGCCCATGAGACCAAAAACAAGACTGAGCCGACGGACCATCTAGTAGAGAAACCTGTTAGCAAGAGATATCCAAGTCTAGAGACGAATGTTCTTGGCATGAGACGCAGATATAGGTCGAGGTCAGAACCAATCAGCTTGCAGTGTGAAGTACAAAGGCGCACATGGCCCCAACCAGGCTTGGCCGATGACCTGGTCTATGGCAGCTCGGGATTTGCCCGGCCGTCCGAGGGTATGAGATAATAGGAAAAGATCAAAAAGAAAAACAAAACATGGCCATAGAAAGCCGGGGAACATAGCCCACATTAATGTGGACCATCGGGGAGGCAACTTACAAGACCGCGAATTTGCGGGGCTTGAGTGTCAAGACGGGGAATAAGAAAAAGCAGAGCATGAAACAGACGGCGGCGCCCAAATTACATGCAGCAAATATGAGCATGCGGTCCCATCGACTCACTATACGCAGTGCGTGTTAGTGTGTTTCTTCTCTTCTATCGGCTTGCAACCACATAAACAAGCATGGTAATAATCCTCCCGGCGCAGGAACTGCAGTCTCATCACCTGGATCACACACAACGGTTTGCGGGAAGATCTGAGGATCGGATGGTCACAAGACAGAGGGGGTTAAAAAAAAAAAACTCACAAGCAAAGAAGCCCTCTTCTTCTTCCCTTCGAGTGGCTGCGGGCAACGGGGCTCCAGGGCCTTCATTATGAGTGGGCAGTTGAACATAGCCGCCTTCGCCGAATGGATTATAAGACCGTAGACGAGACAGGAATGGGGTGTTTGATGACGCGCCAGTGTGCACGGGGAGATCCGGGTCTCTACGCGACCACCCTAGTGAGTTGACAGAGTCTCGGAACGAGTTATTCGCCATGTTTGAGACTAGTTCTAAGAGTCAGGTCTTAGTCAAGTTTTAGATGACAAATGAAACGAGTGGAGGAGCGTGCGCCGCTGCGTCTGCAGAGAAGGCCCGTGGTCGAGCAAGTCAAGACCAAGAGAACGGTCTGCAGGGACTATGCGAGATGGAGTGCAGATGATCTGCGCCGTGTGGTGGATGATCCTCAAGGATTGGCTAGAGGTGGGGACCTAGTAAAGCCAACAGAGGGGCAGATGACGACTGTGTCGAAGGTTGATTCGGCTTCCGATGAGGCTGGGACACGCCGTGACTCGGTTCGAATGGGGGCCACTTTCGAGGAAAGTTCTCCAACTCGAAGATATGCGGCCAAGATCGAAAGATCAAAAGTTATGGAATATGGCAGGCTGATAGAAAAACTTTATGGACAGCCTCCCCGACCAAAAAAAAAGGGCTGCCTATTACACCGTGGAAAGGCGTCAGCCCAACGGATCTGCAGCTATCTCTGCGGAGTCGGTGACGACTACAGGGGTAGCTTGGGAGTCCTCCGGCGCGGCGCAAGAGGATCGTAATCGACTATAGGCCGTGCAATAATGCGGCGAGATAAAGCCAACCAAGCGGAAGATAGGTGGGAAGCGTTGAACCTTACGGGCACAATCCGAGAAGGGATGGGAACCGAACACGGCGGAGGGAGGTCGACGGTCGCTGATTGGACAAGGAAGCGCTGCGCTATCGATAAAGGAGGGTAGGAAGACGAGGGGAACCAAGCAAAATGACGAGATGGCGTGAAGCTACCGATGCGACCAACCCGATCGGCGTTAAGTGCTGAAGCTGTCAGATGATGGATTCCAGTGTTGGGGTACAAAGCTCTCGGACCGAGCCCTGTGGGGTTATAGACCAGGATTATCCTCATAGAAGAGATTACCAGAGGAATGAAAGAAATACATGTCACTTACCAGGGTGGGAATGTTGCCTACCTAGGTAAGTGGTAAGAGGTTAAGTTGTATGGCAAAGGGCAGTTCAGCAATGAAGTTGGGGAAAGGAGACTAGTGCCTAATAGGGTATAGCGCCAAATATGTATCAAGTATACCCTGGAAGTATATCACCCACCTATAAGCAACTTCACATATTATTTCAAATCATTCCATATCATTTTATATTTTTAAGTATTCTAAGTTATTATGATGCTATAATATACATAGGTACATATCTGCTATTGTACATATTTATTTCCTTCGCGCTATAACCGCTGGAATTTTATCAAGACCCTTAATATGCAGAACTATACTTTCCTATAGATACTTGTTGCATATTTGAATCAAATCGACTTACTTTAAATGGAGTTTCTGTGTAACTTACATTGCTATAATATTGATTTCCAATATAATAGTCTGTTCTTTACTATACTCGATATGGACTCATGACCATAATTGACCCCCTCTTTCTGCAAATTTCAAATCATTGGCCCACTGTCGATCCTCCATGGCTGATGCACACCCTGTGGCGATCGGCCGTAACTGTAACAGTAGAGTGCAAAGTTCTTATATTGGACAGCCCTGTAGAAGCATTTATAACGGCTATAGTTGCCGGCAGCCGTATCGGAAGTACTCCGTGGAGATGTTCCAAGGTTGCATACCCATTATATAACCTTTTGGCTGTATTTATGTAGCTACCCGTGTACCACCTAGGGGAATTATCCGATAACCATAAGGGCGCTAATATGCACTCCGGACTGCACCGTGGGTAACATTGGCACTAGCCTCATTGTTTCTGCTTTTACTTTTTCTGTTTCCTTGTTTTTCCCTTGCCTTTTAACATCTACTTTACTTTTGTATTGGTACTCTGTAGAATGTCCGACGCACGAGTCGGTATATCCGTGACCCCCCCCCCGGAATGGAGTGCGACCCTAACCACGTACGATGTCGTCATATCAGGGTCCTGTGCACGGGTTAGTCTCAACGTCCTATGTTGTAAGTGGATTGAATACTATCAAAGTACATGGAATATAACTCCCTTGCGTCAACCGTGGATACTATGGCCGAACCTTGACGGGACGGGACGTCAGATCCATTTCCCCCTCCAAAATGGTAACAGTCTCCATCCGTCGATCCTAGGAAAACCATCTCCTAAACCGGAGTGGCTCACAAAGAGGGGAAAGTTTGGCGATGTGGCTTAGCACAGTCATACCAAAGTGAGGTGTATTGCTTTCATTCACTATTGGTGGAGATGTCTGAAGACACATTCCAACCCCTCCAATTGTCTCTCTCCACCACATTCTATTCTATTTTCTATTTTCTGATTCGGATCAAGACCGAACGGTTAAATCCGAAATCCGAATCAACTAGGTTGAACATTTGAACCTTCTAAAGGTTCCAAATATATTAAACTATGACATTATTTCCTTTGCCGCCGTATCCTCGATCAATCCCTCCCTTACGTAGAACAAAAATAATCCCAGACTCAAGACTAAGTGTGCAGTTAGAGCGGAGCAATAGGAAGGTCCAAGCTCCCTTGAAGATCACAGCGAGATATGATCGTCCTTCCAGGTCTCCTCTCTGCACGACATCCCACATGAAGAAGACCGCACTGATCCTCTTGCAGAGTTGATGCTTATGGATGTGGTCTGTGTGCTATTATTTTTCCCTTTTTTGGTTTTCTATTTTCTGTTTTCTGTTTTTCTCTTACATATATACTAGGATCTTGTCCAATCTCATCTACCTCTGGTATTGCCAAGGTAATGGGATTATGCATCTTATGTTCTCCGGATGATATTTGCGATTAGTAGTTATCTTCGCATGCTAGTCGATCTCTACCATTTCTGGTATCTCAAATACTAGTGCTCTGCATAGTTGATGAAATCAACCATGTCCACATGGTCTCATTTGGGGATCTTGAATATGTTCTGCAGACTTCCACTCTGATAGATTAGGGTTTCCTAGCAGATGGGTTTCGGTATGCTTGTAACCCCAAGACCTCATCTGATACATTCTTGGTCTATTCAAGACACCCGTGAGTCATGATCTGTAGTAACAGGTGACAAATATCCCGATGTGTATCATGGGATGGCCGCCGTTTTACTTGATCCGGCTGTATCACCCTTCCCCCCTTTGTCCAAGTTTGTTTTTTATTTTGGAATATGATTATATCTTTTTCTCTCTTTAGTCATGTAGTATTTGTATTTCCTTTTATTATTATTATCTATGTATAGTACGAAAAGAAAGAGGCTCGGGGGTTTTACCGTTGCCACCCCTCCTTCACCCAAAATCCACTCACATCCATTTACACCCTTTTTCCCTTCTGATCCAGATGGTAGTAGTCAACTTAAATATTAAAATAAAAATAAAATTCAATGTCCGATGGCGTAGGTGAATCTCATCGATTCCCACCGATCGACGGGCTGCATGACCGATGTTGTAATATATCAAATGAGAGATGCAGAAGAGCGCCGCTTGAGTTCATAAAGTCTCCATCCCCTCGGTCTGCGAAACCTGCAAGTGCTTTTTCTCTGAGTTGTCACTGCATACTTCTATTCTCGAACTTTTCATTCGCAAAGACTTTATACCTGAACCGCTTTAGTATATCAAGGTACGTGTCAGGTCTTTATATATGACATATTCCCTTTGTTCCTGCGTCCGTGATCTATGCCTTGTCCCCACGTGTGGATGGGGCTCTGCTCATATGTTATACATGTCTTGACCTGCATGCTTATGGAGATGCCTTGGTCTCCGGGATGTATACTCTGGATCTCTTGTTAACACCCACACAGCAACACAGGTCTATACCTAGGTATACTTACACTTAAGTATACTTATACCAACTGCATATACATCTCTTCTGGTAGGTACAACATTTCATTAATACCAAGCCCAACATGTTCTTTTCTTTTGTTATTGGGGGAGTAAGGGCTTGCGTCAACTCGTATTCCGATTGCAATCCGAGCGTGGGCATCAAACCCCGAGCGAACAGCCTAGGGGTCAAGGCGCAAGAGACATCGAATCTCAAATATACAAAGGTGAATATGAAGGCGAAACTACATTGCTATATACTATACAAGGACGTTCTCGAAACTCGGATCGCCACATCTCACCGCCCTCCCACCGCTTGTTCCCCCACTCTTCTCCGGATTCTTGTTTTGCGTCAAACTGACATTCAACTGCAACTCGGATCAACTGGGCTCAACTGGGCTTAACTGGGATCAACCGGGATCAAACTGGGATTGCCTGATTCGGGCTTTATTTCCTGCTCGTTTCTGGTCTTTCGGTCTCTTTTCATCTCTCTGAATATTCGTCTTCTTTCATTTCTCGCATTTGCGCACCACTCGACTTTATTTCTTCTTTCATCGCTTACACAGTTCTTTAGAACTTTTCCAAGGTTCTCTTTGCGCCTTGTGCCTTGCGATTGCCCCACGACACGTTTGTGGTATCTACACGGCCCCCCTCGATTGTCGACTCATCCCGGCTTTAAAGAGGAAATTTCCCCGGCTTATTGGCTCGTCTCACAATCTCCCCGGACTTCATTCCTCCAGTCCTTATTGTTTCAAGGGTAATTATTTGCATTCCTTTTCTGGTCTATCTTGCATTTTATTGGGTTGCCTGTTTTGCCTTGCGCACGGAGGCCACATCTTCAAATCGCCGGGCGGGGTCGAGTCTTGACTAACATCTTTTCCATACAGATCGTGACATTCTCACATCCCGACACATCTTCCATCCTCTTATCCGGCGTCTCGGATCTAACTTTTGACAACTGTCACGGAGAGTCAGTAGGATCGGCACTACGACTCCTCCCTAGCCCCTCGCCGATCTGCGCCCCATCCCAAACCCCCCCCCCAAGATTGTTTCACCGATGGCTGAAGCGAGTCTCTTCATCAAACACGAAACCGACGACTACACCCCTTTCATCATGTCGCACTCCGGTTACTCGATGGGTAATCAATTCCCCACCGATGGGGTCGACCCATCTGACTTGACCATGCAGCAGCAGAATGGTTTCATGCCTTACTCTTATGGTTCGCAACAGAACATGTCATCAAGCTTCAACTTCGGAAACTCCGGCATCGACACAGACGAGTTGTTGGATCTCGAGATCAGCGGTCAAAACGGTCATCAGCGCGATAACGTGAACTATCTCCAGGACCAGTCTGCTGGTGGTATCGCGATGAGTCACCAAAGCCAGATGTCGCATATGTACTCCAACACTCCGGATAATGCCCCCATGGCCAGCCCATTCGTCCAGAACAGCTTCAACTATGAACAGTACCGCATGAACCAGCAAAATCCCCACATGCACAATGCCAGCTCCTTCGACCAGAATTACCTCGGCACCAAGCGCCAGAGCTTGCAAGGCATGGACCGTCCTTCATCTGACGGCCGCAGCCCCATGACTCCAAAGACACCGGCACTGGGTTCCTTGACATTGGGTACCCCTGAGTCTGGCAGCTTCCCGTCTCAGCCTATCCGGACCGGACTGCAAGCTCGCCACCAGAAGACCCTGTCCAACCAGTGGGATGGAACTCCTGGCAGCGGACAGTCGTACGTCGAGTCATCTCCCATCTCATCTCCTCCTAACCAATCGCACCACGCTGGAATCTCCGAGATTCTCAAGTCTGGGAAGCACGCCTCCCTGCCCGCTAAAGTTGACACTCATCTCCCTGGCGGCGGCGGAGATCTCGAATCCCAGGAAGCCAAGCGCCGACGTCGCCGTGCTTCGCACAACCTAGTCGAACGCCGCCGACGCGACAACATCAATGAACGCATTCAGGATCTCTCCCACCTAGTCCCTCAGCACCGACTCGAAGACGACAAGGTCCGAAAGCAACTTGTGAACAGCAGCGCTCTCTCCATGGCCGGCGGAGGTGGGAATGCCGCCACATCTCTTCTTGCTGGAGGCAACGGCCGCCGTGCGACAGCGGGTAACATCACAATGGGTCTCCCCATCGAAGAAAAGGAGAAGGGTCCTAACAAGGGCGACATCCTCAACGGTGCCGTCAGCTGGACTCGCGATCTGATGTGGGCCCTGCACGTCAAATACCAGCAAGAAGCGGAACTCGCGGAGTTGATCGGCAGTCTGGGTGGAACCTGGCCCTTCGAGCAAACCGAAGAGGAGAAGCGCATGCGCAGCGAGATCCTCGATGCACTGGAGCGGAATGATCCAACTTCCTTCAGTTACACCCGCGGACCGGGTAGCGGTCTGCGCGTCCCCAAGCACACCAACATCGCCGGCGATGCCGTGCAGGGCGGCGACATGTCCGGTTTGACTCCTCCCAGCCTGAGTCCTTCGTTCCACAGCGGCACCAGCAGCGCCAACGGCGCCGGTCAACCCCAGTACTGGAACAGTGCTGGCCATGCTGCTATGAGCTTCAAGGAGGAGGACGAGTACGGCATGGAGATGTAAATGGCTCGTTCGTGCCTTTCTTTTGGTCATTTGAGTTGACCTTTGCATACACGGCGTATTAATACGGGGACCGATCAGTCGGCGTACCAGGAGTGAAAGACGACGGGCTTATGATTTCTTCTTTTTCTCTTTTTTCTTTCTTGCGTTGTGATTAATGCATCCATGTCAGTACGAGTACATGTCAGTACGAGTAGTTCTCTTCTTTTTCTCTTCTTGCCTTGCTTTGCTGAATCTTCCCTGGGGCTTGTGCTTATTTCGGTTTTACCTTGCTTTATTCTTATTCCATATCGATACCCCGTTTATTTCCTTGATCTTTTTGTCGACTTGAGCTACGCCATTGACCCCGTCTTTGGATAGCGTCCATGGTTTTCAGTTCTATGCATGTCTTTTTACCTATTTGTGTCCTGAATTCATACTTGAACTTTGAAATTTGATCTTTCTATTCTCTGATTCTGTGTGCTTGGGCATCTGTTGCACAATAACGTCCACGGATGATTGCATCTTCCCTAATACCCCCTTTGCTTGTCCTGATGCCGAGTATCTGTCAATCAATTTATGGTCTGTAGTTTCACAGCATATGAGTTTTGAGGGCATGTATGTAGCAGTAGTTGTAGAAGGCAATGCTAGTAGGGGATAATAGAGAACGATTCTCCAATCAAATATACTAGGTCATCACACCACAATGGTATATCTCTCCCATTTTAAACACTACAACGGATGTGATCAGTTAGGTATCACCCCTATTCCATAATATACTACATCTACATAGGATCTACAAGCAGAAACAAGGAGGAAAGTAAGCACTCAGATACAAAATATATAGACCCACTATCCGAACCACAAAGCCAAAAACAACTACCAAAATAACAACCCATTAGCCAACATCGCCTGACAACAAAAACTATTCACCAAGCAGCATGACCACCGTCAATACGGAGATCACTACCAGTCATGAAACTGCTCGCATCCGAAAGCAGGAAAACAGCAGCACCGCGATACTCCCGCGGACGGGATAACCGACCTAGCATATTCTCTTTGGCGAATTCGACGCGACGCTCGGGATACTCGACGAACATCATCTCCAACATCGGGGCGAGAATGTAGCCGGGGGAGAGGGTGTTGACGCGGATATTGTACGGGCCCCATTCGGCGGCGAGATTGCGGGATAGTTGGATCACGGCTGCTTTGCTGGCGTTGTAGACGGGACAGATTAAACCCTGTTTGCATTAGTGATATCCGTTAGATATGGATGATGGTATAGAGAGAGAAGAAATATGGACTTTCGATAAGAAACCGAAACAAAAGAAAGAAAGAAAGAAAGGAAAAAAGAAAAAGAAACCAACATACCCTATTAACAACAGTCCCACTCATACTAGCAACTAACACAATACTCCCCCCATTCCCAAACCGAACCATCTGCCTCGCAACAGCCTGAGCCGTCATGAACACGCCGGTAACATTAACCTCCAGCAGAGCATTACTATCCTTCGCGGAGTATTCCAGCGCGGGGGTCTCCTGCTGGATAGCAGCTGCAGCGATGAGGCCGTCTACACGACCCTCGTGATTGGCGATATCCTCGACGACGGCATTGAGGCAGATTGTGTCGCGCACGTCGATGCAGCGGTACTGCAGCTCGGTGTGCCATGTCTTGGCGCGTTGCTGGATTTCGATGAATTCTGGTGTCTTTAGGAGTAAGTTTTGTCCGGAGTTATTTTAGGAGTTGAGGTTGGAGATTGTAGTACAATGACCACCTTGGAAAGTAACACATACCGGCTCTGGGAGATGGTCTAGAGCGTAGACTCTGGCGCCCGCTTCTAAGAGAGCCTCTGCTAAGGTCAGGCCTAGACCGCGGGCGGCGCCTGAGATTAGGATTACTTTGTTTGTGAGGTTGAAGTCGGGGAGGGTCTGGTTTAGGATGGGGTTGGTTGGGACTGAGGTGGGGAGATCGATTATGGATGACATTGGATGGTGATTAGGATGTTTGTAATTATATGGCTGTTGGGATATTAAAGTAAATAGAAGGTGAAGATGTGAAGTCCGATGGACCTTAATCACGGAAGCAGTGGAGGGCCTTTATAGTTTTTCATACATTCATGATGGTCCTGGGCATTGGGTCGCGTGAACAGCAGAAATTGAAGGGACACAAGAGAATGTTTCTTGTTTTTCTGGGGTGGGTTGTGCCTTGGATATGGCTATTGGAGGTACCGAGGATGATGGTTAAGGTTGCATACGAAGATCTAGGCTATCCGGGGTATCCATGGATGTTATATTATATATGATATCCAGATTCAGCTAATGATCAAGAACCAGCTTGAAGGTCTGCCTTTTTTTTTATAGCTCACGGAGTATGGGGTTTATTGTGTCTTATAGATCTAATGGATCCGAACCATTAGCCTCTTGGAATGTTGGTCTTGGTTGTCAGAGCTGGTCAATAGCGTTTGGTGTATAATGATCTGTGTGATAGGAACAGTGGAGGGACTATCAATGGGATATTCCTGGACAAGAGGATTAGATCGGAGGAATTGTGGCAAAGATCTTGAGCTTACAGGTCTGTGACGTATCCAAAAGGCTTGGCCAAAAGACCTGGAAATTGAGCGGAATTTATATAAATTATATATATTATACAAATATATATAATTTATATATTCAAGATTCACTTTGAGATAAATATTCTAAAACAGAAATGCCCTTCTTTACAGTCAATCGTAAAATCATGAGGTAGATGATAGATAAAATATGGGTAAATGTCCAGAAATGGGAGCACTATAAGCAGAAGGGGTGGATATCGAGACAAACCCCACAAATATGACGATGATAAAATAAACCCGAAGAGATATGGCCAGAAAGGAAAATCAGTTGGAGATGGCATGGGGTTCACGATCTTCGGTCGCAGTGGGGGCAGACCCCTTCTCTCGCCAATTAACACCCTGCGACTTGAGCTCCTTACGAGCCTTGCGACCACGACAACAAGCCGCACAGCAAGAGCCGATTTGAAGGATAAAGGCGATCAAACTGAACGCCGAAGCAATCCACATAAAGACCATCATCTGGGTGCCGACGTGTGCCTGGATGTTGATTCTCGGGTCGGCGTTTGAGAAGACGTTGGCGAAGATCACGAACATCACCGTCGCCACAGCAGACCCGACGACCGTCACCAGCGCGGTGAAAAATGTCAGAATCAACATGGGCAGCGCGCGCAGCCAGACGAAGGTCCGGCGGCGGTGAGGTGGATTCCCCGCGGGCGGGTGGCCGTCATTGTACCCTGCTGCCCAGGCTTTGATGTTCCGGGGGTGTCGAGAGGACACGGCGAGCGGGGCGACGAAGATCAAAACAAAATTCAGGACCGCTGCGGCGAGGAGGAGTCCGAACATCCAGTGGGAGGCGGTGCGGGCTAAATTCAATGGGCCTTCAATGTCGGCCGGGAGAGCGACTGCGTGGGGTTGTTAGGTCTTTACATTCCAGGGGAGTCCTTGCGGGGATATTTGTATAAACGTACTTGTTGCACCGGCCAGCAGCTCATTTAAGATGATCTCAACGGGGTTGAAGGCATAGAGAGTCTCTGGCTTGGAGCAGTGGGTGATTCCCTGTCCATTGTACCCTTCACAAAAGTTCCATAGGCCGACCTGGTAGAAGTCGTGCAGACCGATTGTTTGGGCGATGGAGTTGATAAGGACGGCATTGGGGATGGAGATTGGGATAATATTGGCAAGATCGAGGTAGAGGAAGTATGTACTGCGTAGAACTGGTTTATCGGAGACATTGCCAATGACTACCAGCACCAAAAAGATCCAAGCGATCAAATACAACAGCGACCGTAATATGCGATGCCAGTGGACGGTGGACTTTCGCTGGCGGTCGATTGGACTTGTGGATTTGAAGAAGGGAAGCTTCCGCTTGCCATTGTCTGTCTCATGCATGGTAGAATAATATGGATTAAGGAAAAGGAGAGAATATCCAAAGAACCCGCGAAGAGAAGAAAGAGAAATTTAGAAATTTAGGGTTCGCCGAGATGACGTTAGAGTATCTCCCAGGGAAAAAGATGTCCAGGTGTTTTTTTAGCTAAGTGGATATATTTACCGGGTCTATATTGGGCTCGATTGGGGTCTATTGGATTCAAAATGTTCAAATTTAAATTTCATCAGATCGTCGTGTCTTAAGATCGTCAGTGGCTGGACACTAGTGATGGCCCCCTGGCCTATGATGATCATTTAGACTTATTTTAGTACAGTAAAGGACATGAAGAACATGTTAAAATGCAAGAGAATGGAAATATACCAATGGATAGATTGGGCAGTTTAGGTAGAAGCATATATGTGTATTAATAGGGTGAGACTATACGGAGTAGTAGACTAAGTCTAGGTCGAACTAAATATGTAACAGGCAGCAATCGGCAAAAGAGCCAAGAGGCTGGAGATCACTGCCTGACCACTTCGCCCCCTAAGAATATAAAAAATATTAAAAAAATTTAAAAATCTCATTGGCCCGTCGTTCTCCTTTATTGATGATCGACGTCATTTGTTAAAATCTCCACTTGATTAGGTAAGTTGAAGTATTTCCCCAAGGTCTTCCCAGGTCTTCTCCTGTCTTGTCTTGGGCACATTGTTATTCCATATCACACACTATGAGGTGGCCTACAGTTCTTCTCGGCCTCCTCGCCGTTGCCCTGGCCCAGGACTCATCAACCGAATCCTCCGAATCCGGGACGACCACCGATAGCACAGTTGTGTCCGTCACAACTCCCGTGGCCATTCCTTCAGGTACCTACCAAGAATTCAGCACAACAATCACACTGAGTGACGGCGATGAGTCGGTCATTGCATCGACCACTCGTTACAATGGCACAATGACTGCCTCCAACCAGACCGCAGTCACCACGACTTCCGACTCGTTGACTTTGCTGGTGGGCGGTGGAGGCGGAGGAACGACAGTGATCGGGAACAATAGCATGAACGCGACTGCGACCACGACTGGCACAGCTACGAACACACCTGTCGTCAACACCAGGCCCTGTAACAATTACCCCGAGTTCTGTACTAGGAAGTACTCCAACATTACCATGGTCGCAGCGCACAACAGCCCGTTCGTGCGCAAGAACAGCGTCGCCGCCAACCAGGCGCTGGATGTGACGACACAACTCAATGACGGAGTTCGCACTCGTAAGTGGAGCTTGCCTTTCTAGAAATAAACCCTGACTAACCTGTGGACTAGTGCAATTCCAAACTCATTATGTCAATGGCACTATGTATCTGTGCCACACAACCTGCCAATTGCTCGACGCCGGCACCCTCGAAGAATACCTGACCGACGTCAACAAGTGGATGCGGAAGAACCCATACGACGTGGTGACCTTCATCATCGGCAACTTCGATTATGTCTCGCCTGAGAACTTCACCACCCCCATCTACAACTCCGGCCTGAAGGACCTGATCTACACCCCCACCAAGGTCCCAATGGCCCTGAACGACTGGCCCACACTCTCAGAGATGATCCTGAGGCAGAAGCGCGCAGTCTTCTTCATGGACTACCAAGCCAATCAGACCGCGCACCCATGGCTGATGGATCAATTCTCGCAGGTGTGGGAGACGCCCTTCTCGCCCACCAACCCTGCCTTCCCCTGCACACAGCAACGCCCACCCGGTCTGTCCGAGGCAGACGCCAAGGACCGCATGTACATGGCCAATCACAATCTGAACCTGCAGTTGAACCTCGGGTCTCTGAGCATGTTGATCCCCAATACTGCTCAGCTTGATGAAACCAATGCCGTGAATGGCAGTGGCAGTCTGGGTGAAATGGCCCAGGAATGTAACAGTGAGTTGAGACTGTATTTGATTTTGATGTGCATTGCTAACTCTGACAGCAACCTGGGGCCGTCCGCCTAACTTCCTTTTGGTGGACTACTATAATTACGGCAATTTCAACGGCTCGGTCTTCGAGGTCGCTGCCCAGATGAACAATGTCACTTATGACCGTAACTGCTGTGGCAAGACGTCTGGTGCTCTGCGCGAGGTTTCTGTCGCCGGCATGTCGACTGTGCTTCTGGTGGCAGTGGGAGTGCAGATGGTGATGTCTGCGTTCTGATTTCCACGATATCTATGACTTGTATTTTGGATGCATGACCGGATTGGTCGTCGGCGCTAGGTTTCTTTTTTTTTACCTTCTGGCCATACATATTACTTTGTACTGGATATGAATTTGATATAGTACTTACAATGTAGTTATTTTAGTTATTGGTCTATACATAAGCAGTCAACAAGCAGACAAACGCAATTGACAGGAACTCGAACAAATGAAAATAAAGATTCTCAAAGAATACCTCAACTTCTTTCCAACATACAAAGCAGATCTAAAGCATATCCACCCCCCCAGCTCCCGATATCACATGACCCCTCCCCACCGCACCGCAAACCAACTCCACCACCCTATCACCCTCACACCCAAACCTCACCCCTCACCGCAAGCTCTCACAAAACCGCCAAAATGGTCGACATCGTCCCTCTAAGCAGCTACCCCTCCTACATCGACCTCCTCCCCTCAATCCAAACCTGCAACATAACAAACCTACCCGAGAACTACTTCCTAAAATACTACCTGTACCACGCCCTGACCTGGCCGCAGCTAAGCTTCGTCGCGGTCGTGCGTCCGCGCGGCGGATACAAGTCCACCCCCGCAGGCATCGCCGGCAATGTCGCAGGCGAGTATCCCAAGGTCGTGGGATACGTGCTTGCGAAGATGGAGGAGGAGCCCACGGATGGCTTGCAGCATGGTCATATTACCAGTCTGAGTGTTATGCGGACGCATCGGAGGTTGGGGATTGCGGAGAGGTTGATGCGGATGAGTCGTGAGTGGCACTTTGCTTTTTTTGATTTTGCAGCGTTTCTTGGTTTTGCATGCTTTCTTGATTTTACATACATTTCTGGGTTCTGTGTTTGCATTATGTTTGAAATGGCCAAAGCGGGATAGCCTGGATATTCATATTCCATTACAGTTCCGAGCTAATATCTATTCTTACAGAACGCGCAATGGCCGAGTCGCACCGCGCGCATTTCGTCTCCCTGCATGTGCGTATGTCGAACGTTGCTGCGCTGCGATTGTACCGTGATACGCTTGGCTTTGAGGTCGAGAAGGTCGAGGATGGGTACTATGCCGATGGTGAGGATGCGTATGCTATGCGCTTGAATCTGCAGAACATGTGGCTTGATTGGAAGGCTATTGAGAAGCGGGATGCGGAGAATAATAAGGAGAAGAATGGGGAGGAGGGGAATGAGGATGAAGGGGAGGAGGTTGGGGATCTTGGGAAGAAGGATGCAGAGAAGATGATTCGGGTTAAGGTTGGGAGGGGACTTGGGGTTGGTGATTTGGTGGAGAAGAATGAGTCCAAGGCTTGAAGATATGGATGTGAATATAGATGCAAATGGTGATGAATGCTCTTTGTATGTATAGAGATATTTTGAAAAAAGTTTCATTTCAGTATATTTGGACTTTGTGTAGATAAAGATGCGAATTGCAAAGGTTTCGCGAATGTCCTATGTATCAATGTGAATCGTGACTTCGTCGACTTGGATGTGGTCGAGATTTGAACTATACATTGAGAAGCAAACCATTTTTTGCCGTCCTCCCAAGGAAATATTGAACTCCAAGCTGAAAACAGAATTAAAGAAAATGGAAGATCAACAATATCCAGCTATGCCAGATCATTTACTTCCCGAATCATCCTCTTTTGACTGTTGCTTTTTCACCTTGCGCGGCAACAGCATGTCCTTTAACCGACTAGACGTGTCAGTCGGTTTCACTTTCTTCCCAGAGGCAGAGTCCCCAGTAGGTGGTAAGTCCTGCGTGCTTGGCCGTGAGATAGCAGGGAAGGGGGATTGGAAGCAAATCCAAAGCCAACACTCGCGCTATTCGGTGTAGAAACCGGACTAGACTGGGTTTGTGTGCTGACCGGACGTGGAGGCATAGGCGGCTTGGGTTGCTGAGAATCTTCCAGCCGCAGCATCCCAAGCTGCTGATCTAGCGGCTGGTCATGCATATGTTTCGCCTTATCGCCCTCATTAGCGCGAGCTTGTCGAACCTGGCGGCGTCGAATGCGTCTGCGTTCGCGCTGCTCGTCTCGTGCTCGGCGCAGCGTGTCCCGGAACGCTTTCTTGGTGGCACGCATTTCTTCTTTCATGGCGCGTCTATCGACCGAGTTGCGCTGCTGCTGTTCGGGTGAGTCCCAGCGACCCCAGTCGGTGTCGCTGGATTGCTGGTTGTTTTGTTGGCTTTGGCTGAAACCAGCTCGCCAGTTATTTTTACCGGAGAATTTGGCTTCTCGGCGGGATTCTTGCAGGACTGAGAGTTGCCGGCGGAGATCGACGGCGGCGTCATATAATACTCGATCGTGACGATCGTCCAGGAGTTCCAACTGAGTGCGCACTGTGGCAAGGTCTGATACGTCTAGGTCCGATGTTGTCGATAGAGAGTCAATTGAGCTGAAGGAGGACTCGGATGAGACGGAGCTCACTGATACTCGTCTGGTGCGTTCGGTCGCGGGAGGCTCTATCAGAAGCTGTTCTGCTGAAGGCTTAGGTTTGTTGCTATTGACCTGGCTGATTGTCTCAGGCCGACTCGTCGGGTTAGGACTTGTAGGGCTGGGGCTTTGAATGGGTGTCGTTGGGCTAGTTGGGCTATTGGCGATGGGACGAGGCGAATTATCCCAGGCCGGCCGGGGTAGTAGCCACCACCATATGGAGGTCCTGTAATTGGTGCTTTCCGGCTATGAAGCCTTGCCTGTTCTTCAATCCAGCGGCCATGTGCAAGAGCCTGCTCCTCAACCTGCCGTCCATAATGCTGTGCCTGTGCACTGATTTGGTCTCCATATTGTAGTGCCTGTTCGCTGAACCGCTCTCCATATTTCTGCGCTTGTGATGCGATCTGTGAGATCCACCCACGGGTCCCACTCTTGGTGCTGTTGTTGGGATACTGCGGTTGCTGCTGCGGATAGTTCCAATTGTTCCATTGCCATGCGCCTTGAGGTGGATGGGGGTAATATTGAGGTGGCTGGTTAGGGGATATGGGAGGAGGGTATGGAGGAACGCCATATACTCCATATGGAGATGGGGGCACATGTACGTGGGGGTTGGGGAACCCAGGAGGGGGCATGGACCAAGGGTTCGGCGAAGGAACGTGTTGCCCAGGCACAGGCGACGGGGCATTTGAATTTCGAATAGGCTGACCTTCTACTGAACCCGTTGCCGCTGGATAGCATCGAGGACATAAAGCGGACGACGGCGCAGAATCAGGTTCGCCCACATAGACAAAGACAACATGAGTAGCGCGGAGACCGAAAAAGCATTCGTTCCATTCGGCAACAACGGCAGCGACTCGAGCCTTCCGTTGCTCATCAGTCTCCTGTGGGCGATCCTTGCGGTCACGTCTAATTTCCGCTCGTAATTGCCGTGGAAGATGCTGAGAGGACGCAGCCAGCCCTAATTGCGGAGGAAACAAGTACTTCAAGAAGGTGTCCCAGTCCTGTTGGGTAATCTCATTGAACCGCGAGGCCCAGCAGCGCGGCCGTCGTGGGAAATCCTTGGCTTGGCTCCGAGGGTAGATGGTCATATGATGTGGTAGAAGACCCCGGCTTTCGTCTATGACCGAGGGAAGCCGTTCCTCAAAGTACGCAGCGGCGGATCTGAAATGCGCCGGCACAACCGTCGGCTGTGTCGGGACACGAGAACTACTTGCATCCTCCGTCGGGGAGACTCACACCAGGAGCAATTGTCTGAGAGGAAGTGTTGTTCCGGCTGTTCGGTGCGAGTAATGGGTCGACGGCCGAGTACGGGGGTGGTGGAGCCTCCTCTTGGTCCATTTTGAGAAGGCGGTTACGGTCGGCCAGGGAAGAGCAAAGGGCGGCAAGAATTTAGTGGCCTAGGAAGCGCTATAGGTCTTTTGTCAAACCTGAATCCCCATCCTGTGATAAGATAACGAGGACCTGAGGGGTGTTGGAAGGCAGCAGGATTACTGTAGATGGGGTCATATCAGCGTAAAATACTTGGCGCATCATTTTTCGAGGGAAGTTGCATCCTACCTGGGAGAACGGACGAGTGACTCGCAAGGACAAAAGGTACACTGAGACCCTGATGAAGGGGAGACGAGGAAGAAGGTGGATCTCGGGAGGAGCGAAGAAAGTGACATTGGGATATTGGCGGAGACGATAAGATAACGTATCTCCCTATCGATTGCCCAAGTGCCAAGACAACTTTCAGGCGCAAACCTCCAATGTTGGGAAGATACATATGTTTGCAAGATTGAACAGACTCATGTTAGGAGGATTGAATGCGGAATGCCAAAGGTGATCCATTAGTGGCTATTGACATAGCCATTTTCACACCGAGAGGCTATGGTGTGAATGGTGCTTTGAACTTATATGCGTCTGAAGCTGAGGAACTATAAATTCATTACAAAGATTTCCGATATCGATTTTTCGACACATTGCCCAAGTTCTGCTTGGCTTGAAAATACACCTTCGAACCTTACTTATGTATGTTTGTAACTGGCATTGTTGTTAGAAATCAGAGAACCCATTAGGCAAACTAGCATATAGCTCCCATCGTTGGAAGGATGCAACAAGCGGCACTGTACTATGTCGAAGTCCATATTGTTTTATCTCACATTTATGGTTTAAGGTATACTAGATAGATGGCAGACATTTGCAGTCCACAGATTGGTGCTTTTACTTCGGCCACGATGCGCACACTGCTAGTGGCAGCAGTTTGATTCTGGGAAGAGTATACATATTGCCTGTGGGCGGTAGACTATGCCTCATATGCCATTATGTGTGAGTGCTTGTAAGTGAGGCTATATTGTAGATACTGTCCGCCCGAACCCTTCATCGACTTTCATTCTCTCATCTCTTCTCCTTTCTCCCGTACACCTTCATTCCTTTTTACAAAGCTGCAGTCAAATACGATTTCCTGTTAGCAGCTTGAAAATCTTTCTTAGTCCACAAGGCTGCTCGGTTATCTCAATTGTGGTAAGGAATCTACTATCCTCTGATCTTCGGTTGTCGACTGAAAGACAACAAGAGGCATCCACACCACAGATACACGCCCCCGTGGCGTAGGAAAATATTTCATTCGACCAATCAATTCGGTAAGTCGTCAAATGTTTACTGTGAGATCTATTAAAAAATTACGAACTAACATGGTTGGTGTTCGTATAGTCCCAGACGGCGTATCCTCTCACTTTACAACGACGGGCACCCAGTCGACAGGTTTCTACAACGACACGCCAAGATGTCTGCAGAGCACACTCGCGATTGGTCCACCCTACTTCCAGTTGAGAAGCCGACCGGAGAAATTGACCAGGCATTTGAGTTGCCACAAATCGGCTGCTTCACTCTGTACCAGTTTCCCTGTGTTCTAAAACACCCCAAGGACTATGCCACCTGGCGCACTGAGATCTGTCAGATCCTCAAAATCCACAAACTCCATCGGCTCATTGACTCTGGCATCCCTCGCCCTTATAAGGACTCGCCCAATGCTAGGAGATGGCAACAGATGTCGATCGAGGTCCGCAACTGGATCGCGTGGAACATGAATCCAATCCTTGTGCGCATGATTGTGAAGGAACAGCCTCGAGCTGAACTGGCAGACGAGTTCATGATGGGGGCTGAGACGATTCTTCGGCAGTTTACTCGTAGTCCTGCAGAGGACTACGAGGATATCTCCGCCGGTTTGTTTAAGCTCATTGGGTGCAAGCGTCGTGACTTTTCTAGTGCCAGGTGGTTTGTTCACCGTCTTATGGAGTATTACACTCTCACTGTGAATATGAAAATGGGAATTCAGCCATTTGTCCCGCTGCTGATTCTGTTGTCGGAAATTGAGGGTGATGTGGGAACAGAATTTGTCAACCTGAGATATGACCAGCTGGAGAATATGCACAACCCCGCCCAGGATGTTACCAAGGCATACTTTGAAAACGTTTACTTTGACGTGTTGGAGTACCTTGATTCGATGGCTGAGACAACTGGCGATGTATTTCCTCCATTGACCGAATGACTGTGTTTGATGACGATGGAAGTCTGAGCGTGCAACAAGAGCATCGGAAGAACATGGCTAGCCTTCGTCGTGGGGTAACCAATGGCCCTACAAAGGAGAGCTTTACTCTGCCATGAAGATGATATGGAATGTGTTCGAAGACGTTGCAAAGGGGAGAATGAACATGATATGGAGGGTGTTTTCCAGAGGTTGTTTCGAACAGTGGATTGGTCCGAGAGGACAAACTGTGTGGTCGAGGCCCATGACATCAATTACTTGTAGTTTCCATCAAATGACATCTCTCAAGTTTGATAATCACAACTCCTTTCCCAAGGTCACAAGGCTGAACCCAATGAATTATGCGCATTAAAATAAACATAAAGTTCCATGCGATATGAAAGTGGCCCCACACTGAGACCACGGCACCACCCAGCAATGATTCAGCGCCTCGCGGTTCGCTGGTTTGAGCGCTTATAATTGGTCAACGAACAGACATAGTGGAGCACTGAATCATCGCTCGGAAGTATGTCCATCACGTTGTCGATGCATGGCGGTCCGAAGTTGAATACTTCGTCGGCTTACCCGAGTTTTCTCGATTTATGAACCACTTTTACAAACATAATCGCATTTATGACTCAATATAGGCCAGTAGTAACGCTAATTGTGGATATATTGGATAACTTCCGGGAATTTATACAAGATCCCTCGGACATCGCCTTGCTGATCATAGCCTGATCTACTGTGTTTCTTAAAATTTTTACTTTTATATAAGATCGAATCTTCCTCTTTCTACACTCGTTTAAGACTATTCAACTTTGCTTCTCCCTACACACCCGTCTATTTCGTTTGCCTCTATACTACTCCCACACCTCAAGGACACCCATCGCTGTCTATATTTCCATAAATACTTGTCGCCCACCATGGATGCTCTCCAAAAAGAGTCTATTTCAACTCAGCCAACCCTAAACGAAGGAGACAGCGTCAGAAACCAAACCCCAGACCTCGAAAAACAATCAACAAGGCAAACCGCCGAGACATCAGCACCAAGCAAAGAACTATTCCCAGAAACAGACCTCAGCCTTGGATTAGTAGGCTGGGATGGACAAGATGATCCAAACAATCCCCAGAACTTCCCGGCCAACAAAAAATGGTCTTTGCTCGCCCTAATCAGTGTCATGACTCTGATCTCCCCCGCTTGCCTCGAGCATGTTCTCACCCGCCATTTCATACGTGGCAATGGAATTCGGAGTAATGGATCAGACAATTTTGTCATTCAGTGTCAGCATCTATATCCTCGGATATGCTGTGAGTTTACCCCACCTTCATCATCTATGCAATCCAACCCATCTAATATCACGGATATAGTTCGGCCCCCTTCTACTTGCCCCTCTGAGTGAAGTCTACGGCCGCCGCGTCGTCCTCAGCGGCGCAAACTGGTTCTTCGTAGTCTGGCAAATTGGCTGCGCTCTTGCAAACAACATCGAGACCCTCATCATCTGCCGCCTCTTCGCTGGAATCGGCGGTTCGGGATGTCTAACACTCGGCGCAGGTGTGATCGCAGATCTGTTCCCTCGGGAGCAGCGCGGCATGGCAACCTCAGTCTGGGCTATGGGCCCACTGATTGGACCTGTTGTTGGCCCTATCGCGGGTGGATTCCTCGGACAGGAAGCCGGCTGGCGCTGGGTGTTTTGGCTACTTCTTATTGTTGGTGGTGTCGTGTCGTTCGGTGTTGAGGTTCTGAACAAAGAGACTTATGCCGATGTTCTTATTCGGTGGAAGACCGAGAAACTCGCGAAGGAAACGGGTAGAACTGATTTGCGGAGTGCTTATGACGCAGATAAGGAGTCTGTTGGTTTGACACAGACCTTGGTGCAGAGTTTCAAGAGGCCGGTTTTGCTGTTCGTCAAGTCGCCGATTGTTTTCCTTCTGTGTGTTTATATGGTGAGTCTGAATTCGGCCCTGATATACGAACATCCTTTCCATAACTGGGTTTACTGACATTATCTCTGTAGTCTTTCATCTACGGCCTGCTCTACCTCTTCTTCACCACCATCCCCGGCGTCTTCACTCAGAAATACGGCTTCTCCGTTGGCCTATCAGGACTTGCATACCTCGGTATTGGCTTCGGTTTCATCGGCGGTCTCGCAATGATCGCCTTCACAAACGACCGGTTGGTCATGGCAGCTACAGCAAAGAACGGCGGCAAGTTCGAACCTGAGATGCGCCTCCCAACGATGATCATCTTCGCCTGCATCCTTCCAATCAGCTTCTTCTGGTACGGCTGGACAGCCGATAAGCATGTGTTTTGGATAGTTCCTATCATTGGCATGTTCCCCTTCGGCGTCGGCATGATGGGCGTGTATATGCCCATCCAGACATACATCATCGATTGCTATCCCAAATATGCAGCGTCTGCCAATGCCACTTTGACAGCTACTCGTTCACTGGTTGGAGCTCTGCTTCCACTTGCTGGGCCGAAGATGTTCGATACCCTTGGTCTCGGGTGGGGCAACTCGTTGCTTGGATTCCTGGCTTTGGCATTCATCCCGATTCCTATTCTCTTCATCAAGTACGGCAAGGTGATTCGGGAGAAGTGGCCTGTGGATCTCGATGGCAAAAAGGCTTGAGCTGCTACCATCTTCCAGGGCATCCTACTCCCTCCACATAGACCTCGTCTGTTTCCATGACCGGGGATGATGTATAACGACCCGCATATAGAACTCGCATATACACAATTAATGTAATAGAATTTAATAGAATATGAATCCCAGCATGTAAATGTTCCATCCCTTATAAAAGCTCAATTACAATTTGATTGATATCCATCCCCTCCACAAGATCAGGATACCGTCTAATAAACTCTGGCGTAAGCCCCCACCCACTTTCACTCATAAACATATCATAAAACGCCTTTTTGATACACAACTCGTTCTGCTCATTCCGTTCGAGAATCGTCTCATTCCAAGGCCATCGAATCTTCACACAACAAGCCATGAACCCGAACAGGTCATCCCGGTCTTTGCTATACAGATGCCACCGCCGAATTAGATTCATCCTCAACCTTGGCCACGGCAAGAAATCTAACACGAGCGGATGCGGAACTGCCATCTGGCCCTGCACGGGTCTGAGAAACACAGGAAGCCGACCATAAGTCTCCGGGCTGGGTGCGAGGACCCATCTCGAGAAGTGGTAGGTCAGCCAGCCAGTACCCAGTCGCTCCGGAGCGCGGACTGGGCGGCGTTGCAGGGCCGTGTGGATCATGTCTGCTAGCGGGTTCGTTTTTGTGCCATAGATGAAGTCAAGAGGGGAACTGGGGATGTCTGGACATGGGATTATCAGTTCTGGGTAGACGAACCACGGACAGGAGATCGTAGTGCGTGTGCTGAAGTCATCAGTGTGTGGCGGGATTTGGTTCCATAGAGGCGCGGTTTCGGCGGAAAGAGGTGCTAGAGATGGGGATTGAATTCGCGGTGTTGATATGGCAGATATAGGGGCGTTGAGAAGGCTGCTTATCCCGTGTTGGGGTATTGGTTCGTTGAAGTTCGTTTGGAGGGAGAATTGGGCTTCTCGGTTGCTCGTCTCCTTATACATAGATGACAAGTCATGGCTGGAGTCATCGGTGGCAGTTGGTTCATCCAGATCTGTCTCCCAGGAGTTGACGAGGGACTTCAAGCTTTTTTGGCGCGTGAGAAGAGCTTCATTTTGTTTGCGGAGCCCTTCGATTACTTGGAGAAGGCGTTGCACGCCTTGGTTGCTGTGATGCTGCTGGCAGTGCGCCACCTGCTCTTCAAGCTGGGCCGTATGTCGCAGCTTCTTTTCGCGGAGAGTCTGCTGTGAGCGACGATCTCGAAGGCGCTTTTTCTCATTGGAAGACATCGGGTTTGATGCTTTGATGTCGTGGAAAGACGGGATCGGCGGATTTAAGGTGCCGCTGCATAATTCGACATAAGTGGGTATGCATAATTGTTATGCAGATATCTACAGATTCATACATCCACTATCCTTATTGGCATTTCTACGGCGTTTTTACACTCTACAGAGAGTTCTTTCTTCAAGTCCCGCTTAGATGCAATCCCCTAAGGCCCGAATGAATACATGACTAACGCATGCTGTGCGTGTCTCAGGCACTCACATTCAACCCCTGTCTAAACAGCAACTCACCAGACGCGACACCCGTGTTCCTGGTCCTCTTAGACTCGGCCCCTGAATTGTACCTGACTGTGTGTATCATAGGCAGCAAGCAAATATGAAGCGAGTATTTTGGAGGCCACTGCCTACTCGCCAACATGCCGACTTCCCTACAATCTGGGAAGCAAACCTCACAGCATGCTGTCAAGCCAGTTTCAAGAGGGTACTCCACAGACAAAATACCCCGTAAGTTGTACCAATTTGTCTCACCCACTGAGCAGGTTATTGACATCTGATTGGCAGGGATGACCCATTCTCATACACGAGCGGAAGATGGTTGAATCGTGATGAACTTGAACGCGGGTCTCGATATATCCACTTTGATTTCCAAGCTCTCTGCAAGACCCTTAAGCATGTACGTAGGTAACGCTACGCCGAAATGACTCAGCAGAAGATGGAACTACAGAGTTCGCGAATGGGCTAGAAAGTTAGCATGCGATTTGCAGGGTTGGCCTTCCATTCGATTAGGCTCGCGAGAGCCTCCTCAGTGACCGCTTCAGTACTAGAAGGTCACCACGCCTAAGCGCAATAGATTCCCCCGCCACATGCACTGGATCTTCAGTGTATTTTCTCCTGACAGTGGCCAATATAAAAACTTGGTTGTCGCCAGTTCGTTGGCCAAGACCAGCCCCTCTTTTGCTCTTCGCCCCCGGACGGACACCATTTCCTCATCCCCAACGGCTCCAACACAATGAGGTCGGGCTATATCAGTGTTGACTACAAGATCCAGCGTTCCTACCTCTTTGCAGTGGTCGCCAATGTCGGCCCCGGCGGCGTCAGTCGCACCCTCTCCGTGGCCTACCGCCAGCACCCTGAGAAATACAACGCAAGTGGATCAGGGACACGAGTGGAGCACATGGTGGCCGACACCCTCGCGCTGATCGCGATTCTCTCAGATCCTGCCAACCGCACCCCGCTTGAGGCGGAGAAGGCGATCGCGGAGGACTGGTATCGTCGCTCTCACGAGCCTCCTGTTAATGAACGACCCAGTGTGCCTGATCGCCCGCAACCCCTTTATGTGCCCCCGAGCAAGCGTCGGCTGCTTGTGGAACCACTGCCAGCACTGCCATGGCAGGATGAGGCAGTCCGCACGTTTCCCTTCACTGCGACGTGCGTACTACTGGCGTTGCTACGGGGCAACCACAGATACTGGACCCGCATCGGCGACGTCCAGTTCCAGCCGCTGTCAACGGTATTCCGGGGCGACTGCAAAGAGTATGGTCTCATCGTGCTAGATATCTCTGATCTAAATAGCGGTGTTAAGTATGGCATTGCGGCGTTTAGCATGCGCTACATGGCCCAGCTTTCGTGGCACAGCGACACGGGGGGCTGGGATCCTGTCGAAGACCCTCCACCAGCCCAGGAGCCGGATGTGGTCCTGGACCTTCCGCGGCCTCGAGAGCTGCTATCGATTGTTCAGTGGATAGGGGAGTATTACCACTGGTCGGATCTGAAGTCGCTACACATTGTTGAACAACTGGAGTTGAGGCCGCTGGCGGATGCGACCTCCTTGGATTGTACATACCTCAGGGGAATCCGCACAATGTTACCTGTGCTAACGGGGCAATGATAGATATCTGGCCATCAGAGTTAGTCCCGCCAGAGGTGGTTCCTCCTGGTCCGTCTCTTTCTAAACGAGTTCTCTCGAGCATCCGGAACTGTCAGTGACTCCCTCCCATCCATCGCATCTGCTAATCGCCCTGGCAGACATTCGACCTCCTAAGTCTACCATCAGACCGCCAGACTATATGGTCGGCTACACTATAACCGACGACCGGCCGCCTGATACAAAAGAGGCGTCAACACCATCCTCCAGCAGGACCACATTGACTGAGCCACCACCACCAGTCCCAGCAGACATCGACCGTGCGATTGACGATCTGCTCGATCTCACCCAGGAACCCACCCCCGGACCCCTCCAGAAGAGAGAAAAGCCTGTGGTCAACATTCAACTCATTTCTCAGTTCCGTTGGAGACTGCAGCAGAGACTTGAAGAGGAACCCTATAGGCTTGGTCCCTTTATGTTCTCCAGCCAGGTCCTGCGTGTTGCATATGCGGCGTGTCAGCACCTTAACTGGGTGGTATTTAACCTATCACCTCATATCATTACCACCGCTATAAGATCAGATGAGTTTCAGGCTGCGTCTGCACTGAGTATCTGTGTTGACCAGCCCCGATTCGTAGAGTCGGGCCTCGGTGATCTTGCAGCAGCCCTGGCGCAGTTGACATCCCTTAAACAAGTCTGCCTTGTACATCGGCCGGACCATATAAGCGACGATATATCAGCTCGTTTCCACTCACATATACTAAAACAATGGGAGAGTGACTCCAACCACACCATGAAGTCGAAACCTATCTATTCCACCTCCGCCTTCCTAACTGGTTTACACAGTCGCGAATATCTTCCTTCGTCCCCGACGATTAGTTCCAGTCACACCTCCTCCACTCCGACGGTCTTTCCTACGATACACCTCTTCATGTTTGACAGCACGAACGGTTCTAGCACTGGATATACGAGCTACTACTGTATGGAAAATACAATGTTAACCGCGGGGGACTTCGCCATCCGATTCCTCGGATACCTCCGAGCCCTGGGCCCAGAAATGCAACCTGACAAGGCGATCTTACGATTCGCCTATAACTGGGGGCTGTGGTTGTTCCCTCCCATCCGTGACGGGAGCCCCCACAGGCCACCCCGGTCCATTAAAACGTCATCATCAACGGCAGATGAATTGGGCGTACGTCCCATTCCCCTGGGCTTCTTCGACCCCGAGCCGGATCTCAACAGCCCCTCCAGTGTCCGGTTGGGAGAGGTTCCACGCGGGGGTTGGGTGGTTCTTGTAGATCGACGAGATCCTAAAAGTGAATGGGGCGAGGACAAGCCCTTCCTACAATACTCTTTCGTGCGCATTCATAGCGCTCCCGTCGAGATGGCACCCGAGGAAGGGGAACAGCAACCCCATCAACAACAGCAAAACCAACAAAAAGAAGAAGAACCCCTAAACTCCCTTCAAGTAGTTGGCGGGCTGACCGACTTCCTACGGATCACCGTGCCAGACACGGACATATCCACATGGGAGACACGGCTGGTGGTGGTCGAGAGCGATGTATCTACCGCTTCATTCGAGACAACTCCGTCCAGCGTGTCATCATCGACTCACGCGTCTGTGAATACGTGGGTCCGACGGCTCTTAGAACGGAGCCAACAGGGGGAGGAAACGGACGAGCACGACGAGGTTGTGGAGCAACAGCGGCTAGAGCAGGAGCTCTTGGAGGCACAAATCGGGGTGGAAGAGGTCGAGACGGAAGAACCCTGCAGCAAGGTCCGCGTTATGGCGGAGAGCTTGGCCCTTACTTTACTCGGCCGGTTACGGTGATTTAATGACCGACTATCCCTTTTAAGCTCCATCCTAATATTGCCGAGTTGGAATCTTGTGGTTATTTCCCAAGAAAGCGTTGCGGACGTGTAAACGTGCAAGAACTGTAAAACTAAGTCCGGGGGGATGTCTTAGTCTTTTATACTATACGTGCAGCATATGTCTCGCGCAAAAGAACCATTTTATATTACATTGATTTGAAATCCCTCCCGTAAACAATCGGGTCTGCAAATACAGCAATGTAGTAGACAATATCACGGACAGAAGATATATATTTATCTCCAACCCCCTTCCCCACAGAGTGAACCGATCAATCAGCAAAACGGGACCTCCGACTCCCGAAGAGCAACACCCCCGTAGGAAATGACAAACACAGTGCTCTGAACACGGGTTATCATCATCCGAGGCGTCAAGCTTGCGTGGGGTTTACTTCTTGCCCGCAATCTCCAGTTGGAAGCCACACTTGTCGAAGAATTCCGGCCCTTCATCGATAAAGGTCATGTCCGTTCCGCATTGATCGATGGAGAAGTTAGTCTCAGGTGCCTCGCAGATATCCGGGGAGGACCCAATCACGCCGTCGACGATGAAGATACCGTTGCAGATAGCATCTGGAGGGGGGTTAGCATATCGATGACAGGGGGATAGGGGGAGACTCACCCGGCGTATAGGTACTATATGAGTTCATCGTGAGTTGCCCCGTGGGTGTGACTGTGCGACCAATACACAAGTCCAAGGTTTCTTTAGGCGCTGACGTCTGCGTTGGGCGGGCTGTGGTTGTGGTCGATGAGGGCTTGGGGGGGGGCGCCGGGGGCTGGCCGTGAGGGTTGTCCGGGTCCTTCGGGTCATAGTAATTAGAGGGATGGGCAATCTTCGGCTTCGGATCGCACTAGTACCCCTTGCAGAGCTCGCCACCACAGTGGTCATCGTCCGTACATTCAGGCTCCGAGGGGCCCTCTTCCCAGTTCATCTGCTTCCCAGGGCCCTTGTCCCCGGGAAGTTGGGGCAGCTGCGACTGCTGCCAGATTGTCGGCGCTCATCTGGATTGGTCGACTCGTCCTCGAGGTTGTCCTGGGTATTGGGACACGTCTTGGCCCAGTCTTCCGTGGACCCGGCCTCGCGGATACAGCTGTGCTCGCGGATCTGACCATTCCAGATGACCGGGCGCAGCTTTTTGGCGTCTACGTTGCTGCCCATTGCCCTGAAGTAACGCGCATAGAGCTGGATGAGATTCTTCACATTGCTGAGCTTGTCCAGCTCAGGACTGCCAGCGAGAGGGCACCGAGCGGAAGTAGTTGGCCAGCGCAGCGACCTGCGGGACAGCTATCACGAGGTTAGTAACGATGGGAGGCCGATACGCATGTTCGACGAGGGGGGCTTACAAAGAAAAGTGCCACCACACTCTTCCATGCCAGAGGAAGGGCCAGCGGGGCAGTGGAGGCCTGCCCCAGGGGCAAACGCGGCGACAAACGGGGAGAAGTTAGACTCCTCAACTCGCAGCGCGTTCATGTCGGTCGCTGCAACCATGATTATATTGGGTAGGCCGCCATACTGATCGTTGGGGTCCGCGAACTTGGCCGGATATCGTCGCACGGGCATCCCCTCGCGGGGGGGCGCCCCCCGGTATGCTGGGTCGTCCACGGCGTGGTTGTTGGCGGAGGCCACCAGCACGACGTCGAGCTCGTCCAGCTTCTGAAGGAGGTTCCCTGTCGTCCCACGCTGGGGTCAGCACTACACAATGGGGGGAGGGTCAGATGGCATGCCACTGGCGGCCACTCACGGAAGGCGATGGAAACCATGGGTGAAATGCGGTGCGGCCAGTCGTAGGAGAAAGACATGACAATCGTGGCATTGCCCTGCCGCCCCTTGCGCTTCACATCATCCAGGACGTCGAGCAGTTGCGCAATGATCTTCTCGTTGGGATAATGGTACCAGCCTTCCACCTGCTTGCTTGGCCGCGTGCTGGTGACCACGACCAAAGTGCACGTGGGACACAGGCCCGGCTGGTTGCCCTGGAAATTGATAAGATGGACAATTATACTTGTGAGGCTCATCGATATCCTCCCGCTGTAATTTGATAATGTAGATTTGGTGTTCTACTAATTAAACCCTCAAACAGAAGATCGCACTGTTTGTAGGCACATCAACAAAAGTTGTTGTGATATGCCCACTGTCAATTAGCCACGTTTGGTCTACCGATGGTGAACATAAACATTTCTAGAGGGTACAGTTGAGTAACGTAACCTTATATTCTATATGTAACTATACGTATCGGAATTTCCCTAGCGGGTGGAGGCTTTTCTATTTGATCTGCGGCCGCTTTTATAAGGGTCCTTAGGCTTAGGCTCACTACAACATAAGAAGATTTATCCTATGTCCGACTGTCTCCAATCTCAAGGATCCTCCGACTATCACTCAACTCCGCTGCCGCCGTGTCTCCCGGAAGCTCAGAAACATACTTCTTTCGACTCTTTGCAGGGTTCGACTCAACCTCTGAAGGCGGCTTCTCCCTCGCCGACTTTTTCGATTCTCCTGCTGCCACAGCACCACCCTCTGGATCTGGCTCTGCCTCTCCATCTCCAGACGCTGGAGCACGGTGCCGGAATATCCGCCGCGAGAGATAGAACGTGGCCCCAATAAGTCCCAACCCGGCCACAGAGCCTACAACGACCCCAGCAATCTCCCCTCCGCCGAGTGGCGACCCCGAGGAGGTATCTGTATCCGGAACTAACGTACTTGTCGGCGTTCCCGTCCCGGTACTCATGATCGTACTGGACGGCGTCTCCGTGGTCTTAGAAGATCCTCCTCCGTCGTTCTCGTCCGCCAGAGACACCTTGAGTTGATCCCAAGTTATCTTCCCTGGCCAGCCATTGGCATCCGTACCGGTATATCCAAGCTTCTCCTGCCAACACTGGTAGGACTCGCGGTCTACCTCGGACCACTGCGGCCCCGGTCCCACGCGGTACTTTCCACAGTCCTCTGCCACCAGTCTCTCTCCCATGGCAGTCACGATGGGGCTGTTGGGGGATGACTTGAACCATTCGGCTCCAGGAAACGGCGTGAGTTCTCCACCAGTGCTCGTATTCGCCCCTCTTAGATCAATAACTGCGAACGCCCGAAGCGGAGCAGTCGAGTTCTTCGCGAGATAGTCCTCGGCGCTCTCGATATTATCGTCTGTACAATTGGGTGAGCCGTACATGTAGATGCGAAAGAGACTGTCTTCGGCGTCGAACTTAAAATATTTCCCCTTTGGGTGGTCGATAGCCTTGCAGCTCTGTGCGTCGGTGCCCTTTTCGAGGGTGGGGTTGTCGGTAGCGTTTCTCCAGACGAAGGTCCAGGCGGAGATTAGTGGGAGAGAGTAGAGTGTGCATAGCGTTGTGAAAATGGTTGCTAGACGCGTCATATTTGCGATACAGTAGAGGACAGCGCTAGAGAATGTCCGGGAGAGGTAAGCCCCTTTAACAAGGATTTCAGAAGACAGTAAGTCTGAGGACCTGAGCCGAGTATCGCGCGCTCAGGACGACCGCATCGTTTAAGGTTTTGGGTGCAAAATTCACCCCCGGTGCTAATGACAACGAGTTCGGCCATCCCTTAGATGCGCATTAACTAGTGCGTTTGTCCAGCAGCCACTGGTAACAGAACAGACCCCTTTAGAATCCTCGCTTAGATGGGCTGAATTGATCGGCGCAAGATCAGCATCTCATAGGTTGCTTGACAGCTGAATACGAGCTCCAAGAGGAACGATGCGTCCTTGGCACGTCGAGGAGCGGCACCTTCCGCCTAGTAAATGTCAGTTTATATTCTCGAAAGAGCGCAGTGAGAAGAATATGAGGCCCAAACGATAGTTGCAATTAGCAAATTAACCTCCGAGCACCGGAAAATTCTCGCAGGCTGCGGAGCGTGCGGCTCGCAGAGGCAACATATTTGGAGCCTCACTAAAGAGATTACCACTATTATAGAAGGCTAGCGCAGTAATTCTGGTGATGAAGATAGATTAAGGATTTAAGGATATGGTTTTGAAGGTCTCTGGGAGTTTGGCAGCTCAGAGTTTGGGCCAGGAGCCGATTTTCCAGATTTATATGTTCTTAATGTATGTTAATGTCTCTTTTCCTTCAGGTCAATGAGAGGAACCTTTGAGTTGCTCAGCTACAACTTAGTGTGACAATTCGAATGAGAATACCCATAACCTTGTTCCCCCACGCATAGGATGACGCCAGTGTTTAGATTAAATTTGGAAGTTCATTGATTGAATCAATACCTAGAAAAGCACATAGCAGTCCTCGTAAGAATAAGTGAGTCGATCAATATGTCAAGCAACACTGGGTCTCCGATATTGCAGACATGGAACTAAACACGCAGATACAACGCAGCCAGGTACATCAGAATCCTGTCCCTGCCAACCCCAGTGTTATTGGACTCCATCAAGACGTGCGATTAGACATTCAGCATTCGGCGTTGGCCCGGGGAATGCAGCTCACTCGGTGTTCGCGCCACTGGTCACGTTGGCATTCCTATAAAGAGTCAATATCCGTGAGCACAATTAGGAATCTAGCAAAAGAATTCCTGCTTACCTTGCTGCAGTAGGTTGCGACTTTGCACTTCTTGCATTGCAGAGGCCTGTGACCGATATCATCCTCGATCTTTCCGCACATGAAGCAGCTATTAAGGTCGTCAGCGGAAAGTGTGTGCATTCGCCAATCTGGCAAGGTAGGACTCACCTAGGCTCCTGGAAGCTACGTGGAACACCGGGCTGGTAGTGATCCAAGGCAGCCAGGAACTGAACTTTTCCTGGAGTTCTGAAACCATGGTCCCCTAACATCATTCGGCGGGAGGTGCAGTTGATCTGGGGCACTAGATCACGTAGATGTTGCAGATCCGCTGCCTTGATACGAGCACCAGCACGGATCATGAGAGCACCCAGGATGATAGTGCGGTACTTGTTTTCTCGGAAGAAGTCGTCCGGGTCTGCTTCCTGGGCACGACTCGTAGCAAACAGCCGGTCTCCGAGGTTGTCAGTGTCGAGCTTCTGGCGGACCCACGGGATGGTTTCGTTGGCTAGCTTGTCGGCGTATTCAGGGGTGATGTAGAAGGCAACAGCCTCAGGTGGTGCGAGCATGTCGGTTTGATGGACCATCGCACTCAAACTGTGCTCCCAGGAATCGGTATTGACGCCGAGACCGTCGACCAAGCCGCAAGCGACATCAAGGTCCTGGTCACCTTCGAACAAACCTAAGATGGACGTTAGATAGAGTAAAAGGGATCAGTGACTGTGATACTCACGCCAGCCCCATCGACCCATGATGATGATCGTCTGAGATGTAAGCAACTGTTGGATTCTAAGGTTGATCTTGAGAAAGAGTGGCTTGAGTGGGCCTGAACCGCGACAGAATAAGGTCCGTGACAGTAAGGTAGCTGGATAATAAGGAAAAGGCTGAGATGAGCTTTTGGATGAGGAAGAGGAATTTTAAAAGATAAATCCAAACAAGACAGAGAGGACAGAGGTGAGAACTACGACAAAAGAGACAAACATGTAGGGCGTTTGCTTGAATTTGTGAGACACGAGAATACAACGACCTATTATTGACCATTTTGCTTGTGATGGCTTTAATTCTATTAATTGCTGGTTATATCCCTGGTTAGACATAGAAAAGTCCTCCATACAGTTTTACTACCTTCATATACACCTAAAAGAATATCTAAAAGCGATACCCGATATGCACATCGGAGGGTTCCTACATATAACATCTCTAATACCACACTTGGGGCAAATAGGTCACATCAGTAAAGCCTCCCATCGTCAATAACAGAGGCATCATGGGTGGCCAACTCTTGTGCAAGGTATGTGGATATACGTACTCCTCTAGGGCACCAGGACTGTCTAGAAGACGGAAATAATACACGGCGAAGTAGGACGGCTAGATATAGATATAGAAATAGAGGGTCTAGTCGATAATCCGGTAAATGGTTAAAGTAATGCTATTTCACGTAGCAAATACAGCTTAAAATCCGGAGATATAGATACGATAGGGTATATACCTACAGTCGTCGTCACTATCGAATTCTATTAAGTGATAATGATAATCTAATAGAGCCTTCGAAAGTAGATCGAGGGCTTATAACCTCATCGGCGAGAAGAAGCCAGTTACCCGATCGTATGGTAAGCTAACAAGGAACTGGGGAAGAAACAAGAAGAGACGAGCATGACCTAGCCTAAAAGATCAAAAGAATCAGGCACTAACAATCAGATGCCAACAAACTCTCCTCCGCTGGCATATATATCGTCTAGTAGACTCAACATCTTATTCACCCAAAAAACCCCCTAGAATCTAATTTACACATCCAGTTTAAACATGCGGAATGCTTGTCACCCATTCGACAGTCGTATAGGAGCGGACGGGAAGAGCTCTCAACGAACTAAAGGCTAGAGCCATGATCACCAGACGTAAGATTGCGTATACGATGAAGCAAAAAAACTCAGTGAATATGACTGTCCAATACCAAAAGAGCTTTCGAGCATTGAATGCCTTAGTAAGGAATGGGAACAGCCCTCTTGACTCAAACCAAGCCACATACATATGTATGGTACTGGCTACGCTGTAAATACCAACGATGGCAACGCAAGCAAACGATGAGGCAAGCCAAATAATTCGTTCAGCTTCAGTAGGGAAGGGGAAGTTCCATCTATAAAGAAAAAGACCAATGTGTTAGTAAACCAATAGCAACAATCTATATAATTAAGAGTAGACTAGTATTTACCCAGCAAGATGAATACCACAGTAAAGAAAAGCAACAAAGGTATTAATAGCGCACACAATGCATGCATGAGATGGCTTTTCGAAAAGAGCACAGTAGCCCTCTTCTGCTGGATCGAAAGGTACCGTGGCTGCGTCATTAAGCCATCGAGCAGCCTGCGCAAAAACAGACAAAACGGTTTGATCCCTTATGTGTGCGTGACGGTGGACCCAACCATGAGGATTTGTCGCCGTGCGGTCGACAAGGTGAGTCGGTAAATCATTACGATCGCATTTGACATAAATCATGATAGGTGTGGTCATATCCTTAGGATTGTACCACCACATGGCATACAGCAGTACACCACAGGCAATATAAGCAACTGTGGCTAGTTCGAGTGGTGAAACCGGCAGAGAACTTGCCCATCTTGCTATCGTGTCAACAAGGAACCAGCTAGTTTGAACGACAGTGAATGTTTTCCCCAAAGAATCTGCTTTGGCATGGTCTTCAACATCACGGTCGTGAAAGTCTATGTCTTCGACTATGCTAGCCTCAATGAACGGTTTCATATCGCTTGCTCGGAGGACGTATATCCACCCATCCTGCGTCTGCAAGGCAAGTCCACCAGCAAGAATACAGAAACATTTTCGAAGGGTCCACTCCGTGCGGAATTGAGGGGAATTAGCAGAGTGTTGGTTTTGCACTTGCTCTAGTGGCTTAGTCCGTTTAGTCAACCAAGCATTCGGATCCACCGATTCAAGATATCGGGTTTTCTGTGCTTCATTGCACACCTTCTTCAATCGCATTGCTCGGTAACGCATTACTGAGGCGTTTACGAACACATACTCGGGAAAAAAGATAGCGAGGAGCCAGTATCCGAGATTCGCAATAATTATTCGCACGGTGGGTGAGTTTCGTCGAGGGAGGTTTGGGTGTAGGACTGTCCAGGTACAGGCAAATATCGTCGACAAACAGGACCATACCAGAGCAAATGTGGAGCGGCTGTTGTCCTCTAACTGCCAGCTGACTAGAGCTGTTGAGTTAGAAGCGGCCATGGATCGACCTATGAAAAAAAGTAGACCGAAAAACAACATCCTGCTCAGGAATCGGCCGACCACCAGCGTCGGCAGGGCTCCGTACTCCAGCTTACTCTGGATTAGGGGTTGGTGATGAGGGGGCTATATGAGGGCGATCCACAGTCACGTGAAGTACGAAAAAATTCCCGTACTTAAATGCGCCCAATGTTCGAGCTAGCGCCTTGGCAGTGAGATTGCAACTCGAGAGAAGAGCGTGGAACGAAGAGCGCGAAAAGGTGTAGTGCCTCATAAGCGCTGTTATGTCTCCCCGGCCGGGCGGCAGCCCGATCTGACTTTTGAGCGATTAATTAGTATATAAAAGAAATCAGTAGTTTTACAAATTTGATCCGTCGCTTTTCGCCATATCGCACATAGGCTGAACGATGGCTGCCAGAGTACGCTATCGCCCCACGGCTCCATACCAGCATAACCCTAAGATAGCACCCATCACAATTGCCACAGGTGGGGGCACTTTGAACCATGCACTCCCTGAATATGTCACCGCCGCAACAACCACCCACCATGGCTCCTTACCCAGACTCTGTCCGTTGCTTCTTTCAGAAGTCAGGTATCCAATCTCCCACAAGCGGTACACAGCTGTAAAGACCAGCCCGACTGCAGTGGCATTCACTCCTCTGAGGAAGTCGACCACATACTTCTTCTTCCGCAACACGCGCCAGAAGCTTTGGATTGCAACGGCCAGCGTGATTCCCGGAAGGAAGATTCCCAAACCGCCCAGGAAAGCACCGAAGACGGTCGGGAATTGCGAGCGCTGCAGTGCCAGTGCCCCCAAGAAGACAGCGAAGTTGAAGTTGGGACCGGGGAAGGCTTGGATGATGGCGAGCCCGATCAGGAAGTCTCTACTAGAGACCCAACCGGGATCGACGACATAGGAGCGTAGGAGGGGAATAACAACAGGACCTCCACCAAAGATGACAGTGCCAGCAAGGTACATATTGGCAAAGAGGTCGAGGACCAGTGGGGGTGCGGCGAGCTGGCCTCTGGCAACAAGAATTGCGATGAAGGAAGCTAACCATATTAGTGTCGACTCTCAGGTATTTGTTAGGATGGGGTGCATACCGAAAAAGAGGCACATAATCAGAATTCCGACCCGAATCCGAATAATGTGCTGCTGTAGAGCAACTTCAACGGACGGCGTTGGGCTTGTAGTATCACCTGTGTTCTGTGGTAGGCCTTCGACTCTACGATCTGCCCTTCGCGATCGCGGCGTCTCACCCCTTTGCACTCCGTTCTCTGCTAGGGCTGTATCGTCCATGGCTATGGAGTCCCCGTTTGTCTCGTCCGCTTGTTGGGGACGATGATGTCTGTTCTTCCACGCTAGTTTTGCTCTCAGAAATTGTTGATACAACCATCCATCCCAGATGGTCGTCGCGAAGCCACCGATAACCATCAGCACGGGGAAGTACCAGAGCGCATTGTAACAGAGGCCAGCACATGCGCCAAATATCACAAGGATACGGGATATTTTATCGCGAATAGCTTTTTCAGCCAACTGAACGGCCGCAAGTGCAACGATACCTACTGTAGAGGCGTTGAGGCCAGATAGTAAGGCGTAGGCAGGCTCGGGAAGAGTTTCACTCATGCTTTGCACCCCAAGTGAGAGGGCATACATGCCAATTGCGCCAGGAAGGCTGAAACCGTTAGTTAAAATCAACAGACAGCGGGCTCCGCTGAAAAAGGGTATGACTCACGCCCAAATAAAAAACACAAGCATGGCAGGAATAAAACCTGCATGTAATAGGGCTAGGCAGAAAACCATCTTCGTGCTACCCGGACCCGGAAGGCCCTGGCAAATAGCAAAGAGTTCTTGATACTATGAAATTTGTTAGGAGGCCCTCCGGCATCGGATGTGCCATGAGAGTAAGGGGGAATCGTACAGTCTGCTCATCTACCCATTTTTCCTTATCGCCTTTTCCCTCCACGAACCTGCTATGTAGAATCTGGAAGTGTACCGGTGGTCCTCCGAAGGCTGTAAAGCCTAGATCCCATGTACGCAGGAAAACATCCAACAAGCGACTCGGAAGTGGTTTTACAGGTCCCTCATTTTCACTTGAAAGCCGGCTTACCCGTTTTTCATTCAGCCGGGCGAGAGAAGAGAGGGCCTGAGAAAAGGGGGCGAGTGGCATACTGCTCCTTCACAGCTGCGCCGATAGATCGTTCAAGTACAAACAATAAGATAGATAAGGAGGATAATATCCTCTCAAACGTGAGTAGTGCTTCTATAAACCTTGATCGTCGTGCCTTCTACGGAGTAGGTTAAATACCTGATGCGCGGGATCCGTGGGTGGAACGGATGGAAGCCAAGATGTTTAGGTAAGCTCCGCCATTGCACTAAAGTCGAAACAACCAATCAAAGATCAGACCACAAAGCACGTGGGTACCACAGTACGGAACTAGGAAACCCTATTCGGACAGGAATGTCACTGCCTTGGCGTTACAGGATCGAGGCGATGCCAAGCAATGGAAAGGGTCTTCTTGGCAGTCATTCAAGTTGGCGGGGTCCGAATCAAGTTAGAGCATGTAACCTGGGAAAACCATATGTGACAAGCGTATGATGCCATTGGAATCTGCAGGACTTTTGATGTTTGTATTGTTTACAGTCTCATTCAGTCCCGCTCTTGGCATGTCCCATGGCTTACAGGGCCCCCGGGGGCTTAATTCATTATCACGTACAACATACATTGTGTCTAGCTAGGTGGTGTAAGGTCCAAGATAACCCCTTTTATCGCAAGGCGAGTTGCAAGAGGTTTGTGGTCGGTATCATTGTTACCGTGAACCTTCCATCTTCCGTCTGCAAGTGTCGAAGCGCCGTGGCCGTGATTATCATGCACTAGCTCGAAGATGTCCTTGACCAAGGATACTCAACGCCGAGACCTCGCGAGCAGGGGCTCTTTCCACCGAGGCTTCAATATCCTCGATGAAGTCTGCCGGATCCTCATACCCATCCTGTAGACCGTGGAAGATTTTGATTCTGAAGGAGGTCGGCAGGGCAATGGCAGCTTCTGGGACCAAACTATGTTGCTATATTTCTTGCCAGACTTGACATTATTTGACATTATAATAAATAGGTAGCTGAATTCTCCACATACCCTCTCAGTCCCATGTATACTCTCAGCCAATCCCCCCGCTAAAGAAAAGGATGGGTGGTTGAAACACTGGGCCTAGTATGGAGTGAGAAAGTCAAGGTTGACGGTGAAGGCAGGATCGAGCATCTTTTTAATTCTCAGAAGCTCCTTGAGGGTCCCCAGGTCCCGTCAAAAAATAAAGTTCGTTTGATGCCAAAGTGGATACCCGGAGAATAAGCTCAGCCGGAAACCGAACTCAAAACACCTACATCACATTGACCAGCACAGGTTACAGGTTATCTCTAGTCATTTCAATATGGCCAGCGATCAGAGATTCCAGCGGACGGTGCAAGCTGTTGCAGAAGCTGTCCAAACATTTGCCGTTGGAACATTCGACTTTGCAGAGAGCATCAAAAAGATATGGGGACCGCAGACCCAGCCGGATGCAGTGGAGACATCCGATCCCCAGCCCGAGGGCATGCAGGATGTGCAAACGGTTGATCGACTTCGAGATAGAACGCCCGTTTCTCAGGACAGTGATTACCTGGCAATACACTCCCATAGTCATCCCTCGTCCGAGGCAATGGACGATGGGGTGTCAGATGTCATGCATGAAAGAATCGCGCCACCAGAGTCAGCACATCTACAGTTCTTTAATGTCATGGAAGCAGCAGCTGGGTCCATACAGCAATCTTTCAGAACCTGCTACGTGTGCTATTCGCGCTGGCGAGACGAAAGCCCGTTCCCGCCTTGTCATTCTGTTGTATGGGAGGAGGCATGCGAATATTGTATTAGCAGGCAAATTCCCTGTGATATGGTAAGTTGCGCTATAGGCCATAAAAGGTATATGACGCTAAGAAAGAACAGATTCCAGCAGACGAGATAGGGAAGATATTGCATCGCAAGATGAAGGCGGGTGTTTACCTCACAATACAAAATGGGGTTGGCCCGATAGAAAGACAGCGCTTTGCGGATGCATTCCGTGAGGCAGCCGAGCTGCGCGGAATATCTTTACCATCCCCAACTGCGGACCTACCGCAGCAGCAGGTCGGTTCAAAGCGAGTCTATCGAGGTAGTGATGAGCACCAACCTGTGGCCAAACGGCAGCGGACGCAGGATTTGCTACAAGAAGATGTCCCAGAAGATGGGGAGTCTTCGTCATCGTCGGTATCTTCTTCGTCATTGGAAGAAGAAGAAGAGGAAGTGACACAAATCAAAGCGCAACTGAATACGCAAGAAAGGTCGCCTATCAAAATTTCGGATCAGGTTCCAGTTGTGCATAGAATGACACAAGAAGGCATGATACATCCAGAGGAAGAAAATGATGGATCCTCGTCTTTCACGCAGAAACAGTCCTCGGAACAGTCATCATCAGAAGAGGATGACGATGACTACTCTTCCGAAGAAGAGGAAGAAGGGGTGCAAAATCCAACAAAAGAAGTGTCACAAGCGGAACGCAACGTGAAAGCGAAAGCAACGATTCGACTACAAGACGAGAACAGTGAACCATCGTCGTGTTCGTCGGAAGACGAATCCTCAGCAGACGACTCTTCAGAAGGAGACTCTGATGACGAAGCAGAGCCGAGACAGCAACAGACAACAAAGGGAGACTTGCCAAAGGGACCCACATACAATTCGAAAGAACCGATTCAGTTATCAGACGATAAATCTTCCGACTCGTCAGCAGAAGATGAATCCTCGGACGAACTTGGAGAGGCCGAACTTGAAGAGCAAATAGAGAAGCATCTGGCCACCCCAGAAGCATTTTTTCAAGGGGAACCTATCCTACTAGAGGAAGATATTGATGCGTCCGGCTCATCCTCATCTTCATCGGAAGACGAATCCTCCTCCGAAGAGTCAGATGACGAACAAGAGGAACCAAAACAGCAACCGACAAGAGGAACCAAAACAGCAACCGACAACGAAAGAACAGCCACCAAAGGGACATACACACAATTCAAAAGAACCCATTCAGCTATCAAATGACGAGTCATCCAATTCGTCATCAGAAGATGAATCATCGGAAGAAGAGTCAGAGGACGAACCCGAAGGACCAAAGAAACAGCCGGCAGCAAAAGCAGAGCCCAAAAGACGCGAAGAAAGGCCTGAAGAACCGATTGAAATAACAAGTGGTGAATCCTCCTCCTCATCATAAGACGAATCCTCGGAAGGTTCGGAGATGGAGACATAGAGCGAGATATCAACTGCTCCTCTTGTGTCATTATCAGCTTGCTCGTGCTCGTTGGGTGGTCTCGGGGGATTAAAAGTGAGAAAAAAAAAATGAAACAAAGGCACAAGGATCCATGCCAGCAACAGTAATGTAATGCGGAGATATTTTGAAGGTTGCTGGCATCTATTTTGCTTGAATAGCTACACCTACAGGGCTATATCATCTGTCCTATCCCCTTATGTTGCTTGTACTACTCTAATAATAAGATGTTGCTTCTAGGCCCACTGAATCGGTTTAATTGCATATTGTACTTTTTGACCTTGGGTAGTAGTCGGCATGATAATTAGTATCCGTCCTATGGAAGCCGTACAAATAAAGACAATCGGAACTTGCCACAGTGATACTATCATCAAACCGTTCACCGATCAACATGCGACTAATTCTCTCCAGATCCTCCTTCAGTGCAATGCACCAGTTCCTGATAGCAATCCCCCTTTGCCATGCACTAGTTGCAGAACCCTCCATCCCCAAAGTCGACGTCGCCATAATCGGTGGTGGCCTATCAGGACTCTCCGCCGCCAAAGAGCTCGCCGCAGCCAACAAATCCTTCGTCGTCCTAGAAGCACGAGACCGAGTCGGTGGTCGCGTCCTCAATGCCAACCTCGCCGGAAAGGACGTCCAAGAACTAGGCGGCGAATACATCGGACCAACGCAAAACCGCGTGCTGGCTCTCGCAGCCGAACTCGGCCTACCAACCTACAAAACATACACAGAGGGGAACTCAACCTTCTACCGAAACGGCACGGCACGCCATTATAAAGATAGCCTAGGCGGCATTCCTCCCGTGGGACTCGACACCCTCGTTGAACTTGCAGTCTTCATGACCGATATCAATAATCTAGCGAGCACGGTCGACCTGGAAGAACCATGGAATACGCCGAATGCCACGGCGCTGGATTCAATGACTCTAGAAACATACGTCAAGTCTAAACTATCCACCGCTGACTCCCGCGTTCTCCTCGACGTCGCCATCCCAGCCATCCTATCTACCGAAATGAGAGAGCCATCTCTGCTGTATTCATTGTGGTGTATAGCCGCTGCCGGAGATGAAACGGGGCCTGGGACCATCAACCGTCTCATTGGAGTCGACGGCGGTGCACAGGACAGTCGAGTGAGTGGTGGAACACAGTTACTGGCGACGTTACTGGCCGAGAGACTCGGTTTGAAAAACATCTATCTAAGCACACCCGTGCGCAAAGTCCAGCTCAAGGAATCCCGCTATCTAGTCTTGTCAGATGAAATCACCGTCTCAGCCCGACATGTCGTCATCGCCATGTCCCCGTCTGTAGCAACCCGCATTACATTCGATCCCCCGCTACCTGCCGGACGGGACCAGTTAAACCAGCGCATGCCCATGGGGGCACTTGGCAAAGCCATTGCGATCTACCCGAGCGCCTGGTGGCGGGACGAGGGGCTTAACGGGGAAGGCGTGAGTGATACCGGAGCGATCCGAGTGACCTATGACAACTCGCCGGCGGATGGATCATTCGGGGCGATAATGGGGTTCATTGAGGCGGATGAGATGCGGAAGCTGGATACTGCGAGTAAAGACGAGGTCAAGCGTCAGGTCAAGCAGAGTTTTGCTAATCTTTTTGGTCCGCGTGTGGACAATGCTACTGATGTCCTCATTCAGAGGTGGGATCTTGAGGAGTTCTCCCGTGGCGGTCCTAGTGCTTTCATGCCGCCGGGGGTTTTGACGCAGTATGGGTCTTATTTACGTGCTCCGGTTGGGAGGATCCATTTTGCTGGAACGGAGACTTCGCTAAGGTGGATTGGGTATATAGATGGGGCTATTAGTTCGGGGGAAAGGGTTGCTGGGGAGATACTGGAGAATTGGTGAATGGGGGTCTTTGATTAAGGGGCTTTTCCTGGTGGATATGAGGTTGCAAAACTGCGAGAAAATTAGAATTTTATATTTCACTCTCTGGGCTGCCACTGCTATTTTGAGACTTGACTGGTTATGTTCAAGAGCAAGCTACATTCTAAACAATGCTTTTAGTAAAGCAATGTCATCTTCTGGCTATTTTTTGGCCATCTTTTGGCTGATGTCTAGGAGCCCCATCGAGGCAGAGTTTAGTATCCCCACTTTCACCTTAGCTCGGGCAATGAAGAGAACGAGTATTCTCCAACCTTGGGGATTAGATGCAGTAGCTCAAGGCTAGAGGAGAATATAGTAAGAAGCTCAGTGCGGCTTTTCTCTGTTAGGTCAAAACTATCTCGAGCATAAAGTTGCTGTCAAATGTATCAGTCCGGATCGACTCCAGTCTTCTGCATATGGCCCACTCTAGGAAATTCACTCTACTTACCGTATCCGGCAGCATGTTATTCTTTTCACTAATTTCCTTCTAAATAAAGGACGTCTAACTTTTCCCCTTCCTCTGATTGCTCTGATTGCCGGGTGAACGTCCCGGTTGGCGTCACGCTAATAGGGAGCAAGTAGAACTATATAAATTCGAAAACCCCCACCAACATCTACATATCAGCCCCTGAAGCCCAGTTGCCAAAAAGCCATGTCGAGAGGAAAACGCCGCCGCCGCCATTCAAAGGCCGTCCAGCAAACCCAGTCACCAGCACCCTCGTTGCCAACTCCAGTGACGGAGCCAGGCCGGCAGCGGAAGCGGAAGCGTTATCACCACAAGGCCAAAAAGCGGCCACCATCGTCTTCACAAGTGTATAGAAAAGATGGATTAAACTCAGAATCACCACAGGCCGTGTCATCCAATCATCCGCCCACAGACCAAGAGCGAAAAAACCCACGATCCGTTCATAACTCTCAAGTCAAGGTTCAGGAGCAAAGATCATCACCCAAACGTTCGACGACACCATTGCAGCGTGCGCCTAAAGCCAAAAGAGTATATGAATCTGATTCTGAGTTTGAGTTCAAGTATATAAACAAGGCCCAGGCTCAATTGAAGCCGCGAGTGGCTTTGCGATCACCTCCATCATCACCACAAAAGGTAGTGGGTCTCAAAAAGACCACAACAGTTTCTGGGAATGAGCGCGGCAGCGATGTCCGTGAGACATCGGCAGATGCAGACTCAGAGTCTGAAAGGGAACGCGAACCAGCCTCACCATCGCCATCACTTCCCTCACCGCAAAGGGCCCTAGTCGAAAATACCACGCCAGTCTCTAATCACGACCGCCAGCGCACGTCTCGTGGGACATCGTTGTCAAACCCAACATCAGAATCACAGCCAGTGTTTACACCTGAACCGGAACGGGAACCATCCCAGTCACCAGGAGCATCGCTGGAAAGAGTCGTGGGCCACGAAGAAGCTACACCAGCTTCCTATCCTGACTATGGGCATCGAACCCGTGAACCATCGGCATCAGATATTGACAATGAGCCTGAAACTGCATCTGAAGCAGAACCGGGCCATGGCCCGGAATCGTCCTTGTCATCGTCCTCACCATGCAATAAGACAGCCCTAAAACGGAAGAGATCAAACACCCACCATGCGTCCCGGCGCAAGGCAGCGCCATTACCTGCTCCTTCGTCACTGGACTGTCTGCCTGAAGTTGAATCCGAACCTACGTTGCCATCAATGGATAGTCTCACATGTTCAGAGTCAGCGTTACGGAACTTCAGGCGTGATCATTGGCGCAAAGCCTGCGAACCAAAAGAACCGCCATTACCATCCCGATCAGACTTGTCTAAAGTGATAGGACCCTCGAGTCCGTCGATATTCGTACCCATATCAGAATTCCAACCACCGGAATCTGAAGCTGAGTCTCGATATGCGTCCCCGAGTCCAACCCAAATAACACTAGCGTCGTCTCCACCCGTACCTCCAACTATCTCACGAGTGCGGTCTCGAGTTCGTTCTCGACTTCCCTCACCTCAGCGCTGGTTATCGCGACTCGGACGGCCAGACCAAAAATCATCATTAAGCAAAACCGTCTGGACCTCGCGTCTCCGGCCTACATGTGAGATATATTTCACCGACGAGCCTCTCCTGATAGACAGCATGAGATATCCACACCTTTCCGCCGAATTTCCGCCTGATGCTCACGGGAATCCCGAGTTCAGGTTTGAGGATAACTCAGGTGATGATTCCGATTTCGAGCTTCCAGGAGACTTTGAGCCTCCGGAAGCTAAACGGCGTAGATTATGGTCATCTGGAGACTCGCCAGAGACAGAGTTGACAGAGCGAGAGTCATCTCTGGAACCCGAGGAGTCATCAGAGCCGGAGCAGTCGTCAGAGCCTGAGGCACAGATAGATCTTGAGCCATTATTGCTCGATATTGCGGGCTCGTCAGATCCGCAGCCATTGCCCGAGCTTGAAAGATCATCAGACACAGAGAGATCATCGAATCCTGAGAGCGAACATCCCCGCCCGCCTACTTCAATCCGGGATCAGTTACCGGTACGGCAATCGAGGCAACTTAACAAGCGGATCGACGAAGCGATTGTGAGAGATAAGGAACAGAATCCCAAATTCTGGGGTCGTTCTTGGATGAAAGAATATGAGAGAGGTGTACCGATAAAAGAACGAGTTGAGGCCGAGTATATGGAAGAGATGGCGAAGAAGAAAGAAGAAGCGGAAAGGAAGAAAAGGGAAAAGCAGGAGAGGGATAGAATCCTGAAGGAGAAAAGGGAGAAGAAGAGAAAAGAAATGGCAGAGCAAAAATTGCGACTGGAGAGGGAGGAACAGAAGAGAATGGAAGAGGAGCAGGAGAGGGAGCAGGAGAGGCAGAAGCAGAAGAAGACCCAGAGGAGGGAGGAGCTGGAACGACGGAGGGCGAGGGCGAACAAGCCGAAGAACGTGGAATCAGCGTTGCAGGAGATGTTAGACGAGAGGGAGACTACGGATGTTGAGATATCGGTTGATCCTGAGGGGTTAAAGGTAGCTCAGACTGCGTACAGGTTGTATATGCGAAAGAAGGCAAGGGAAAAGGAAATAGAAGATTGAAGAGCTAGCATATGGGGGGAAAAGGTTGGCATCACTTGTATAATAGCAATCAACATCATCGAACCAGATAAGGGGAAAAGAACGATTTGGTAGTATTGATAGATCTATTAGGAGTACAGGGGATATCATCAATACACCAGGGCAGTGTGATACAGACTCCAAAACACCCTTCGATGCCAAGGTTGCCAGATATTGACACGCTAGACTTGCATTACACGAGATATGGACACGAACAACCAGAAAAAGAGAGCAAGGTGTATTTCCACACTAGTCCCATGCATCTCCCCAATCATCGGCCTCCTCGTCTTTGGGTTTAGTATCGATCTTCTTAGGTGCAACGACAGTCCGAGGTTTAGCGGAGCTTATCGTCGACCGTGTGGTAACGGCGTTGGTCGAAGCAGCCTTGGTCAAACCCTTGGGTAGGGGATTCTTAGCCTTGGTCTGAGACTTCGCGGCCAGCCAGCCGGCGAAATCAGGTTCGCCGCCATCATCGTACGGCACCACGGGGGCTTTGGTCGATGAGGGAACAGGAGATGTGGGCTTGGGGGTAGCTACAGCGGCAGTGAACGGGTCGTCGTCTTTTTCGTCGTCGTCCATAGCACCCCACGCATCGAAGACGTCATCGCCCTCTTCTTCAGGTTCCTCGTCGTGGACGACCGGGGCCGGGCGGTCTGACATTGACCGGTTCAAGGGCTGAGCTGTGGGACGGAGTACTTGTTTGGTTAGTTCGGTTGGGGGTGTTGGTTTGGCGGGACGAGGAACCGATGCTGAGCGGGCAGTATCAGGGTCAAGAGTCTTGTTAGTGTTGGCAGTTGGTTCAATCTCGCCGTTAGCTGTTGCGATTTTGTTCGTGAATGATGAAATGGCCCAGCCGGCCCAGGAGTTATCACTGGGGGTTCCAACACGAGCATCGGGTTTGTTGACTTCTGCGGATGCGGCAGGGGGTAGGACAGTGTCTGGCATCGTGCTGGCATATTTCCGTGTCCGCTGGACATACAAGTCAAGTGTCTTGTTTGCTTGGTCGCGGATTAATCTGTTCAACGGTAAGGATGGGGCCAGCATTAGGGACTGAGCGCATTACTCACTTTTCCTTGTCCAAAAGTCCAGGGCAAATGGCAGGTAGGATCCTAACAGCACAATCTTCCTCGCTAAATACATCGATAGTCGCAGACAGAGCCAAAAGTCCTGCGTTCCGGGCGTGGACAAATGGGTCTCTGATAGATCTCGTGAATGCCGCAATAAGCACCTTGGAGCGAGTCTGCATGTAATGTCAGTGGCATGTTCCAGTATTAAGGATAAATCACCTACACTTTGACTTAGGTTCTTAGCAATCCGGCCAAGACAAATTGTGGTGTTTGTCCGAATGCCAGGTTGCTCATCATTAGCAGTGCGAGCCAAGAACTTCAAGAGTTCTCCATTGACAATCCTATCATTGAGTTTGTTGACGATGGTCAAAACAGCCTTGACCGTCTGTTCTCGAACCACCGGGGCAACATCGGTGAAGCCAGAAGTCTATGACGTGTTAGTACAACGTGCATTGCCGGGAGATTCGAATTGCTTACCATTTGCGGGAATATTTTGTCGTTGACAACCCTCTGGGGAAGGTTATCGATCATTGACGGAAGGTTATCCAAGAGGCAGACCCGCAGTGCTCGATCAGGGTTGCCAAATAAGCGGACAATAACAGGAGTCAGCTTAGCGTTGAATTCATCTGCTGACAGCTTTGCTCCAATCTTTAGGGTAGCTCCCAGAACTTTCGGTCCACCACCGCCAAACTCGACGGACTTCAGTAGCTCGGGGAGCACTTTCATCTTGAAGAATTCCTCCGGGAAGTCTCCAGAAAGATTATCAAGCTCACTGTAAGTGACGGCACGTTAGCCGGGAAAAGAGCATTGGGCATGACGTTGGGAATATACGCACTTAATGAATTCTTCACGCTCGGCGTCATTCTTGAGCCCCAAGCTGTCGATGTCTTCAGTCATTCGAATGAGTGGTGTCTGGAAGAATCCACCTTGTTTCTTTCCCTGCTCCACGAAATGTCCCGGGCTCAGTCGTAGCTTCGGGTTGGCGGTGCAAAGACGTTTATAGCTTTGCTGCATGCTGGGAGGAATGTTCGTCGTCTTGCCAGCTTGATCGCCGCCCGAGAAGCCCCCATTGAAAACCTCGAAGATTAAAATACCCAGCCCGTAGGCATCGACTGCTGCCAGAGGATTGCGCTTGATGGTATCCCATCCTGTTTTAACAACCTCCGGTGGCGTGTATCGAGCGGCATCAGGCACACTACTTCCGTACGTCTATGCATGGAGTCAGTATAAGGCATCATTCAGGCAGTTCCTGGATAAACCCGAGCCAGGATAACCCACATATATAATCGCATCATCTTCCTTCATAGAGCTCAGAATGTCGAATCCACCTAGCTTCCATTCGCCGCTCTCGCTTGTGAACACCGAGGATGCGCGCACGGCGCCATGAACCGAGGAAGCATCGTCGTTGATGAATTTGAGAGTAGACTGTCCCGAGCAATCCCCGTCAGCAATGCGACAATATTAGGCTCCCAAGAATATCGTACCGCCACAGTATACAACCCCCACTTGGCCGTCTCCTCGCTCAAGCTCCTCCGCTTCACCGGCCAGCTCAGTGGCACGACTCGTTCGGTGACAATATAAAGATTGTGCTCCGTCTGTAAAGCCGTAAGCTGCTGCATCATGATCTCATGTCAAACCAGAGGTCGGGGGGCCAAGTATACCTCAATCGTATCCAAAACCTTAATAACACCAGGATGCCGCAACGTCCTAGACTTGCGCACGGCATTTTTCGCAAGAGGGAGGCGCGACTTGTTCGCATTGATGTCAAATGCAAAGACACTGCAAGCGGAACCGTCATCCTATATGTCCCGCGATATTGTCAGCCATTGAAGCTCGTTCCGCATGGGAAAAAGGAACCGAAAGCCACCGTACCCGTTTCGTACCGTTGTGCAGTGCCCAGACTGAATCACCGATATCGACTCTGTCGCCGAGGGAGAACGGGAGCCCCCCCGCCCTTCGCGATGGCAGATCCGATGGCTGATTTCAGGAAATCCATGGCCGTGGTGTGGCCGATGTGGCAGGTCGGGGATTGTTTGGGGTGTCCGGGGTGCGCGAGTCGGGGCGGCCAATGGCCAAGGGTTCAATATGCGGCCGGTTGTCAGGATGAGATCAATAGGTCGAGTTAGTGACTGAAGATAATCAAGTCCCAGACACAGTGTTCTTCTAAGAAATAGCCAGACACATTAAACGCCGAACTCCTTTCACCCCGCCTTATCGTGATAAACAGCGCTGCCTGAGGCCACCACGTGCTCATAACTATAAATAAAGCTCCTTATCTTCCTTTTCTTCGCCTCCATGCCACCGTCCCACGCGTCTAATTTTGTCGCCAACTGACACTGAAACTCACGATAATTATGCTACTGCACTTATCTTCTTCCAGTCAACACTCACTCACACCAGTCGACAGTCCACAGTTCTAATGTACACAGTAAGTGCCCATTTGCTTTCCCACGCGTTTCAATCCAACCAGCGACGCAAGTCGCCCTCTCCAATGATGCGAACTCTGGTAAAAGGTCAGACCATGACCACAACACCACAAAAGAAGACTCACCCAGCAAAACCGATGGTACTCCCGCAAGCACCAAAACCCATGCAAAACACCACAAACCGGACCCGGAGCGAACTTCAAGAGCTACTACTCGCGCGCACGAACCACATTTCTTTCCAATAGGCTTCCGTCTAATGGAGCAGCTCTGATGATGCCACACCATCACGGAGCTGTGCTCGGACCACGACAACATCCTCCTCCGGTCACACTCTCGTCGACCAACTTCACATAACACCATTCTCCCCACTCTTCCAGCAGAACACAAACGTCTCCCCTCGGAACGCTGGCACGCTGCAGCGGGATCCTAGTCAGTAAACCCATGGCTCGTGGCCACGCTGGACAAAGCGGCGTTGGTCCTGGATCATAGGAGACGTTGTGTACATTTACGCTTCTGTCCGTCCTGAACTAGTACCGCAACTGGGCTTGGTACGTGCGCGCTCATCGCTGAGATCTCGCTTTCGATTACTGTAATATCCTTGCATATTGCGGTGTTGCATAGCTGAGGTCCACCTCGGGATTGTATCCTTAGGGTGTTTCGGTGATAGCGTGCACGGTGCTGGGTCTATGGCGCGAGAAAGTATGGGAAAGGGGAAGTGGCGCCGCTATCTGGGGTTGCCATGTCCGCTTCACTTCCATGAGGACTGGTCGGCGACCAATGGCTGTGGCGTAAAGGGTACGAGGGTTTGGGGTCTAGGGGAGGAGAAGGTATGGGTGGTTGGGGGACACTCTTATGGTGTTCTTTGGGGGGCTTGGGGTTGGACGTATTCTTGCTGGCGGCGTTCTGTTGGCTATGCGGAATACGGGCTTCTCTATTGTCTTCTCTCTGACTCCTTGGGGTGGCATTCCTGGCTGCTCTTCTCTCTCCTCTTCTTTTTCCCTTTTTCATCTGCTGTGAAGAGTGGTGCGGGCATGTTGTTGTGGGGGGCTGGGAGTTGGGAGACGGAGAGGTGTGTTGGTTGGGGTGTGGGCTGGAGGTGTTTGGTTTTTGTGATGCTTGGTGGTGTTTTGGGGGTTTGTTCTGGGGCTTGTTTATGGCTGGAGTGTGGGCAGAGGAGTCTGCAATGGGACGAAGCACCGCGGTGGGTTGATGTCTGGTGTCTGTGGCTTGGATGATGATACTGTTGAAATTTGACCTGAGGAGATCCCCCAAATGCACTTGACTCATCATTCATCCGAAAGGGGTGGTTCGCAGCTGCTGACATCTGCAACAGTTATCTAGCATTGTCGATATCGACGGTATTTGGTTAGGATTCATTATGGGATTTATACCTCGGGATCTAGATCTTCAGTATGGATACAGGTGGTGACTGTGGATGTTTCTATAGTATATATACGCAGAATACAGGAGATTTTCATGTTATAACCAT